CAATTTTTTATTTTCATTTCCATTTTTTAAATATCAAAAATAATTCGGATTTCACTTTTAATTCTAGCTGAAATTCTGAAGCTCACTTATATACTTATAATAATTATTTGAAAACATATAATATTCTTCGAACATTTAATTGCGGTACGGAAGGATCCAGCAATTTGCCTTAAGGCACAATGCCATACACCACTAGTTAAAATTTATTTTCAATAAAAATCATACTCGTCGATTTTTTTTATACGTAGGTGAAACATTTTTAGCAATCAAAAATAATTTAAGCCAATATTTATGCCAATAACTTATGCCAATAATTTATGCCAATAACTGTGTGTTAAATCAATTTCGAAATAACATGAAAGTGAATTCGTAGACTTAAGAAGTCCCACAAAAGCCCCTTTAAATGATTAAAATCAATAACTAATAATATTATTTTGCTCAAACACAAACAAAATATTGGGAATGAAACGCTTACCGTCTGGTTTTATCCTGGACATTTGTTGTTCACATCGCTGTTCTGCTCGTGACACGTTCATCACCTTTTCAGTTAAATGATCAAGCGTTCTGAAATAACACGACAAACTAAACATTGTTTTTTATATAATACATAAATATGTATTTGATATTCATTAGATAGCTAATATATTTAAATTAAAATTTTCGAACAATAAAGATTCAGTGTTCACATTCAACGTTTTGCATTTCAAGATTAGGAAAGCGTCAAGTTTTTTGTTGATGAAATTTAATTTATATAATATATATATATTTATATACATATATATGCGTGTGTGTGTATAATATATTACCTTGATCGATATTTTGTCCAATTTAATTTTGTATAAAATTGAAAAAAAAAACGTAAAAACCATAATGGTTATGAAAAAATATTTTTCATTTTCGTTTGTTTTTTGTTGCCATGACAAACTCGATTCACTACATTAGTTATGTCATTGCTTTTTTTTCGAATTTGACGAAATATGCAATGCAATATTTTTAGCATGGAAATTTTAATTTATAGTAACAATTTATGATACCAATATAAGTAATTGTGCATTTTATCACAATTAACGCTCTCTGAATGACTAAATCACAAAATGATAATTGAAAGAAGAATATTATGCTAAAAATAAGAGTAATAAGAATAAGATCTTCTTCTTACTATATCTATAAAAAATACGTATGTTTTTAAATTAGCAAAATACTGAAGGACCTTATTCAGAATAATTCATATCAAATATTTGACCCTTTGACAGCTTAAAAAATTAATAAGCTCAATCTATTTCTTATCTATTGATTTAATTTTGCGCATGGATTTTAAAAATATGTATATAGCATATAATTAATAATTCTTAAACCTTAGAAACTAAAGCAATATATCATTCCAAGCTTATTCTGGATTATCTGGACATTATGTAGTCTGATAATATTTTATATAAATATAGTGAAAAGCAAATATTGGTCAAATAAACCAGATATTTTATTCGTTAGTTATTATTTCGTGAATGCCATCATAAAAATGTATATTTATATTTAGATAAATACTATATATAATAGAACTGAAACGTATGTACTATACAACTAAAACTTTGTTCAGACTATTCAATAAATATTATTAGTTACTGGTTAAGCGAACGAATCTTTGGCCAATATTAAATTATTGGACATAATTAGATTTAGTTATGAGACTGTCTAAGATATTATTATTTAGTTAGATCATCACAACAGCAATACGAGGGCACTGAATGAAGAAATTAAATTATTCTCAGAAAAGTGTAGATAAAAGGAATTGATGAACATCCCACTTATTTGGAAAAAATGTCTAAACCTACCCATACATGTATTTATTATTTTTTTAAGTTTATTATTAACAAACTAATAATTTTATTATTAGTTTAATAATAATTATACAGTCTATTTTTTTTATTAATTTGATTAATTGTTATTTATTGTTTATAATTTCTGCTACTACACCCTTCATTTTTCATTCTAATTTATTGTGTTAAATCCGCAAAATACAAAATACAGAAATACACTCTAGCACTACAGGTGGTATATTAGTCCGGCGATACTCAATAATTTTTCAGTCTTCAGAATGTCAGCACCGTGGTTAATCACTGAAAGCAGTAAAATTCTTCTGCTCTTCTTTGTATTGTATGTACCTATATGCAAACGAAAAATTGACCTTTCGCCGACATTTCAAAAATGGGTGCACAAATTCCAAAAAATTTGATGAAACTGAATAATATCGCATTGATTAGTTTTGTGATACGACCAGCCTAATCATTTCTTTAGAATTGGCAGAAAAGTGCAAAACTTTTTTCAACGTTTTCTGCAAATGTCTTTGGCTAGGCCGTTTCATTGTAATTAATTCTGTTTTTTGGGCGTTTTATGATGAAACTTATAATACAAAAAAGTAATTTAATTGTAAAAATTCATTAAAGCTTTTGGTATAATCGGTCGCGTCCAAATTTCAAAGTTCTATTGTTGCAATTTTAAAAGTTGCTTAATATCTAAATCTTTCGTACGTGTCGACATCAATATGAATTCAAAGTGTTTTGAATCAATCTAATCAAATGCTCCTTCCTCGCAGAATTAGGCTCACGCGAAATTCTCCCTTTTTAGATAAAATTGAACTAATAAAAATGGATTTTATATGGATTGTATGAAGCTCAAGAAAAAGTGCAGAACAATATTCTGGTAAGAGGCCGTCCATTAATGACATGATTTTTCTCAAGCATTTTCAACTTTTAACTATATATACAGGGCCGGATTTAAAAATTTGACGCCTTGGGGCACTGACAAAAATGCCGCCCCATTCCTGAATTTATACTTAAAACAGTTTTTATATATCATTTTTTAAAAAATTAAAGTAACTATTTGATTGCAGAAAATTTATTACACATACTATAGATAGTGGTGCTTGGCATCGTGCCTTAAGGCAAATTGCTGGAACTTCCCGTACCAAAAATTAAAATTAAAAAAAAAAAAAAAAAAAAACTGAAAAATTTTGGGTTTTTTTTATATTTTGAAAATTTTCAACATTTTTTTAAACCAATCGCGCTGCTTTAGCTGCGTAGAGCCAAAAGATAGAAGAGTGTAAGCGCCGCGTCGCAGAATAGCGGATAAATAATATTACAGAACCCATAGAAATGTAAACAAAATTTATACTTATTATTAAAATATCTGATAATTTGATGTGCACATGTCTAATGATCACTTTTGACCACCAAATGTTTCTTTTCATTTTTTTTATTGGAACACCGAAACCGCTAGACCTGCCTCCCACAAAGTTAAGCAGTTCTTTATTTTGTCTATACGTGTAGTTTTTTTAATGATATTGACCGTATTTTCGAAACAGTTAGACCTGCCTTGGCCAATAACTAATCAGCACGTTATCGTTATCAATAGGAATCAAATCTTTCAAATAAAATTTAATTTTAATAAATTTAATAAATAAAAGTTATTTTTTTTAAAAAAATCGAAATAAAAAGAAATTCATTTTTTTTTCATTTTTCAAAAATTTTTAAAGCTCTTTATAAAATGTAATTTTCAGTAACTTTCCTTAAGGCACAATACCATGCGTCACTAGTTTAATTTTTTTCAGCGCTAGAAGCTTGGAGGAAATTCGTTATGTTAAGAGCTCGAGATCTGAAAAACATATTTTTCTTAAACTTTCAGCTCATTTGCTAATCTTTATATTAGCCAAATTGCCAACTTCTTCATTGCATTCGTATACTATGTTTTGTTAATCATATTTTTTTAAATAAAAAATGTTATTAAAAAATGAGTCAATTATATGGTATAGATTTTTTTTCTCACTATCCAAATTATGCCGCCCCCGAAAATTTGCCGCCCTGGGAAGTAAATATAATTACTATTTATTAATTTAATTAAAATTTTTTCTGTCCGTTTATGATATAGCACAAATGAGTTAGACATGTTTCATTGAACAACTCCCATGGTCGAATTGTTGCAACTTTTTCGGACTGATTTTTGTCCGCTCAGATAAAACTTTTAAAGCTCAGAAAGCTGCCTATAAATTATTGCAAGACCCTTAGCTAAAGTAATACCCTTTATCAACTCCTTCTGTTTGAACTCATATTCAATAATTTCACGCTTTAATTCAAGTGACCTGGCTCTTTTCTTTAGACTTTCCATAGTTATCGAAATTAATCACATTTTGTAAATGTACAAATAGCAAAAAAAAAAACGCAAACCGAACATATATAACTGTACAATCACTATTGTCAAAATTTTAAACATTAAAATAATCCTTGATAATTTCCTTCCATACACAGCCAAAATATTTCTATGGTAGGATAATCATTGTTACAACTCACGAAATTTCTCATATTTTCATTTCCGAATAAAGCTTGTATTGTGAACTTTGCTATCGCATGTTGAAGCAAACGAGCCGCTCCTTTAGCGGCTCTTATATCGAAACAATCGTATGTCAGGTGACTCATAAGTCGGGGTACCACTATATATATTTACATATAATGATAGTAAGTAGTGTTGTCTTAAGCCAAGTCCTTAAGCTGAGTTAAACTCTAACTTAATTCAAGAAAGTGTGAAAAATTTCCCATTGCCATTTCATACCGCAGTGCTCAAAAATGGAATATTTTCAATTGCAAACATATTTTTAACTTCCCGTAGAGTAAGTTATATAGTAATCGTAAAAAAATCGAAAATGAAAATAATAAGAAATCGCTACTGCACGAAGTCAAGTTGTCCAGAGCGGAATTCGAACTCACGAACCCGTATATACATATTACAGTATTAAGAAACTGTACTGTAAAAAGAATACACTGTAGTTCGGTAAAATGAAAAATGAAACTACAATAAAACATACAATAAAAATAATAAATCACAGTCATAAAAAATAGATAATATTGAACTGAAATTAGTGAATCATTAATTAATTAACCATCTTAATTATTATTAAGTGTAATACATTATATAATTCATGTCTGAAATTAAATACAATAAGAAAATAAAACTCATAAAACAACTTTTATTACTTCTCTTCCAATTGCAGTGGCAACAGGTGGTGGAACAGCATTACCAATCTGACGATATCGATCGGAGATATTTCCAAAAAATTCGTATTCGTCAGGAAATCCTTGTGAACGCGCGCATTCCCTGATACTTATCACTCTATCTGCACTTGGATGCAAAACTCTTCCTTGCTTGCCTGTGGGCTCAGGACTTGTTATAATTGTGCTAAATACGTCATTCCAGCACAAACGCCCTGAAAATAAATGATTAAATGCTATGTTATACATACTGGTGTAAGCATATTTTTTATGAAATACTGATTACATCTTATAATCTTGTAATAAAAAATTCAGTAAATTTAGAATCAAATTCATTTCACTATTTCTAAATGCTCTTGGTTAAACTTAACATTTTATATATTCAATACACTACAACATACCATAACAAGGTCAGTTTTTTCATAATACTTGCATTAAATATTTGTTACAGTTTCAGTACTAACCAAACAGTCCTGCCCAATTATTATTTCGCTTAGCTGTATGCGGTAAAAACCATGGTATAAAAGTATTCAATTGATAGTCTTCCTTACTACATTTACCACCCATTGAACATGCACAAACACCACGTTTTTGTAAACCTGTATTAGTTTGTATTTCATATTTGTACTGAAGAATCTAGAATGATGAATGATTTCAAATTAAATATTAACACATCTACTGAAAAATTATTTGTTTAGTTCTTTATACTCATTATATGAAAAGTATTTTTTGTCTCCTTAACTATAAACATTTAAATCATAAATTAAATATTCTAAAAGTTAAATATTTTTCATTGTTAATTTATCTTTTTGTAAGAACTATAATAATCAAATTCTGTAAGATTTTTTCATGGAATTAAATAACTTTATTCTGTAATGCATTGTCCATTTTGATCAATGTCATTAGCATCATTATCCCACTTTCATAAAACTTCTGATTTTTATTAGCAAAAAACTGAACCAGGTACAATTTGACACCATCATAATCATTGAATTCACGAAGCTCCAATAATTTTTGGCAGGTGGTCAAAGATATGTGATGTCGATAATAAAATAAATCACTGTATCAATTTGTCAAATTTGACAGCTTTACTTCAACTGCATTGTTTGGTTTCGTTAGTTATTCAATGTAGACCTTAGAACTGGTCTTACAACTGAGTGGTAAGAATAAAAGTAGACAATATTTCAACTTCACCTAGACGATAAGAGTGTTTTTCATCTTTGAGTGAACAGATATATGTAATAATTGACTTGATCAATTATAATTAAGATTTAGCTTTTTAGATAAAATTTTCAACTATTTTTTATTTCGAATATAAAATTATCCCTCTCACTAAAATGCGATTTCTAATTGATATCATTCAAACAGACCTTTAATACGTATATGCAATTAAATTAATTATAGTATACAATCATTTCAATAAATTTTTATAATTAAACAAACTTCTGTGGGCTATTAAATATTTTAGGATGTTTGTTCGATGCGATAACTCTGTCTCGTTAGGGAGCGTCCATTAATCACGTGATCGATTTTTTAGGAATTTTTGGACCCCCCCCCCTCTGTAATACGTCGTGATATTTAAAATTAGCCTTTCCCCCCCATCAAACATTATGTGCATTTTTAGTCATGTGAAATTTTTCAAACCAATTTTTTGAATTTACAAAAATTTTATTTAAAATCGTAAAATATTAAAAATTTTGTTTAAAATTAAAAAAACGTTTTTTTTTTGAAAATTCAGGTAAAAAATAAATACACATGATATCTTCCACCTATCCTTTTTACCTCTAACTCTTCGACGTGATACTTTGTGATTTTTGTCAATCCCCCCCTCCCCTCCGCCTAAAAGCCTCACGTGATTAATCGACGCCCTTATGAATATTTAAAACAAGTCTAAAAGCTCTAAAGAACATGATTCTTTTTTCTGTGACAGATTGCAATCGCGGGCCGTATTGGTTCAGGCCAGGAGCCGGATCAGGCCCGGCAAAATGCCGAATACCGAATATTCGGCAAGCTCTAGAGACCGAATACCGAATATTCGGCAGGTTTTTGGCGCTTAAACTCGTTTGTATTAATATAATTACTATCAGTAGTTGTTATATTACTAACGCGCTACATGTTTATTCAAGTTTGAGGTCTAGTTTTGCAATCACTTTTCGGTTACTCTTTGCAATTTGCAATATGTGGTATTATTTATACTATTCGCCGAATACTTGAATACTATATGTGATAGGAAAATAAATGGTGAAATCATGAAAAAAGTACATTTATAATCTCAAAAGTCGATAAAGTTCAAATTTTTATATATAGAATAATGAAACTAATTCTTTATATCATATGATGTATACTAAACTCTTCCAAATACAGATCCATCGCTCATTATTGCATAAAAGATAAAACATCAACAATGCTGTCGCTGAGTGTGGCGGCAGTTACTGTTCGGTATTTTTTCGATTAAAAAAGTTGCCGAATATGCGGAATACCGAATAGTAACCGAGTATTTGGTGCAAGCCTTATATATTTATATATATTTATATATATATATATATATATATATATATTATTTCTTTATCACCTCTAGTTGGGTTCCATCCTCACAAACAAATGCTATATTTGGTAGATCTCGCCAATCTGCACCTGCGTGACAAGGTATTGAACGAATTCTTGCTTTATTTACCATGTTTTGATGCTTTGCCACATGATCTAAGACGTATTCAAATTTATTATTCTTTCTTGCCGTTCTCTGATAGTAACTTCAAAAAAAAAAAAAACAAATATTTATTCCAAAGTATACAAGTCCAAATTTGCCATAGTTGTTTTGATCAATTAATTAATATAAAACAAGTAATAATAGTTAATAAGTGATACTAATGAATAAGTAATAATAATTAAACATGTTACATTAATACAAAACTATAAAATAAATAAATCTATTCAAAATCATAAATTAACCAAAATCTATACCCAAGTTAACAAACTATTATATAAAGTTATATAAATTTAACACACCTTATTGGATCTGTTTTATAAAAAGTCTTTTCCACAATATCATGTTCATCAGCATATTCTTGACACATATCTGATAAATCAGATATAGCATCCTTAATTGTTATTGTACGATATGGAGCCGATATTCTTAATAAATTAGAATGTGAATACTGTTTACCATCTATATGTATTATCAAAGAAGTTGATTTCAGACTGAAACTATTTTCTGGGTCAGGAAAAGTAGGCAATTTTTCATTTGGTGCAGCAGCTATTATGAATAAACTACACAAATATATTATATATTAATAAAATAAATTATTACTGAGAATAAATAAATAAAAAAAAAACAGTTACCGTCTTCTGCTTTGTGGAACACCATAGTAAGCAGCTTGCAAAATTGCAAAACGACACTGATAGCCAAATGATAGTAAACAACTTAATGTTAACTTTAATGTAATGCCTTTCTCATGTGTAACGAATGCTCTTACATTTTCTAATATAAAGAAGCGAGGTCTGTAATGGTAAGAAATATATTTTTAAATATATTTATTTAAAACATCTATCAATTTTTATAAAGTATACCTGTAAAAATCCACAAAAGATAAGCAATTTGCTATTAGAAAATTTGATAATTGAGCAACATCAGTATTAGAAAAACGATTAATTGAGGAAAATCCTTGACATGGTGGCCCTGCAATTAATAATTCAACTTCTCCTTTTTTTGGAAGTAACAGATTTTCATTGCTATGAGTACCGCCTATATCAAATCAAAGAGTAATCTCATGTTAATTTAATGGGTAATGTGTATACATGTATTATATCACTTAATTTTCAGCATTTTCAAGAAGATATGTATCACAAATTCTTCACAGTATCACAAATACATTCAAATAGTATTCTTATTTACCTTGTAGTAATGTTTCTAAAACAGAGTTGCAGTCTTCATTATAAACTGTTGCACCTGGATTGTTTTTTTGAATAGCTAAAGCAGCAAATTTATCTATCTCTATAGCCCATTTGGTTTCACTCAATCCTGATGCTTTTAAACCTTCAGAGAATCCTCCAGCGCCACAAAATATATCCAAAGTGCTCATACGCTTCTTAAGCTTCGCATATAATGGAGCTTATTTGTAAATGACAATGAATATAAGAAAGTTACACTGATATAATTATTTATAATAATATGTAATACCTTGTAATGATTGAATTTGCAAACAGAAGCCTGAAACCTCGTTCATTTCATATTTATCATTTAGCATCTTAATAAAATAAAACCGTAATGGACCTGCAGCAACCCATTCATCCGGATTTTGAGGTAAATTTTTAATATATGAAATATAGCATTTCTTATATATATTAGTCGCTTTAGTATCAAATTCTGGAAAAATATAGAAAGTGAAAAAAATGCAGCATTTTTTACCATATATTATGTGATTATTATTCAAACCCTCATAGGACCAAATAATTTCATTCACTTCAAATTTATATTCAATTCCACCAGTAATATTTTCTGGTCTATACATTTTTAATAATTTCAACCATATTTCTGAACCACTATCACTTTTCTGAAAAAAAAAAATATATAAATTGAAACTCTATTTTATAATATAAAAATTAGTTGTTGCAATAATTTGTTAATTATAATTCAGCTCTTTCACTTGGATTGAACATTTCCAAGAAGTCCCAATTTAAACTTATAGTTTAAACTATATGATTAAATTGATACTTCTTGGAGATGTTCAATCCCAGTGAAAGAGTTAAATTATAATTACCTAATTATTACAACAATTGTTGTCAAAAAATAACTATAATAAAATCTTGACATTCAAAAAAGTTTATCCGTCACACTAAGTATATTTATATTTTGCTCATTGCAAACAATATTAAGTCAAAATTATGTCTAAAACAAACCAAATTCACCCATAAAAAAACAGAATGTTTGTATATTAAGATCTAAAAAAATTATGGCAAGGACTATGTTGAAACTAATAGTAATTATGTAAACAAGTTTACTGAACCAGTATAAGAACTAATAACCTGAGAAAATATTTTTATTACCCTAGTTTTCTGCAGAATACTTTTTATGTAACCAATTTGTAAAGGTTGGCTTGAACTACTCTCGTGTGGCACATCAGATTTTCTAAAGAATTCCGTATATAAATTTTCATCGCAAAAGTCATTGACCTGATAATAAAACAACAATTATTTTACATTCATAAAATAGAAATGATGGCTCTTGTAAAATGCAGTTGATTATGTGTAAATTGTTTTTGAATGCAAAGAAAATCTGAAATCATTTCAAACCAACATCAGTGCATGCAAAATAAATAAAATATTAGTACTTTATTTTGAGAAGCATCACTGTTCCTATTCTGTGACTGCATTCGGCATTCCAAAATAACAAAATCACCAGTAGAGTATCTGGAAAAAAAAATCAAACAGTTATTTAAAAATAAAGATAACAAAAAGTTCAATGAGAAAATTAAAAACTGACATACCTTTCCTCATTCCACAATATAGTACTATCATTTATTAAAACAGGTTTTGGTTTCAAATCTCTCATATTGCATATGATGCATTCAAAATCAGAATTTTTATTTAATTTTATTATATTATCTGCATTAATAAAAGATCCACTTTCCCTGAAATTGGTAAAATGATCAAAATAAAAACTACATGCTTTGAAAAACAGAAAATAAGTAAAATTAATATAAAATATACAAACTCTTGATATAACTTGCTGTAAAATAAATCTGAATTATTAATATTTATACTTTCAATTCTATCCTGGTTTAAATAATCATTATTCCAAGATTCTTTAAAAATTACTGATACCTTCTTGATTATTAATTTCAAATCCAGTGTCTGGCAAATATCAGTCAAAAATATCTGATTATAGATAAATCATTCAATAAGTTTAGTGTAATTTAGTGTATGCATATTTACAGTAAAAATTATTTTACTTCTCTTGAATTTCCTGCTTCTTGCAATATAATGTCACAATTTCGTGCAAAAAATTGACAATGAAATCTTTTAATGCAGGCCTTTTCAAAAAAATATGTAATACAAGCAATTATATTTTCTTTGCCATTGAATGATTTCAATAAAACACAGTCACCAGAATTAAGTATAATAGTACCAATCTAAAATTATTAGAAAATATGTTAAGTATAGAAATTTACTAAAAATGAGTCTCTAGATTAAGAAAAACATAGAATTATGAGTCTCAGAAGAAGATAATAGCAAATACCATTATGCAAAATAAATATTATTATTGAACAAAAAGGCATTAGAGTCCTTGAGAACTATTTTGAGTATTAAAATTCCAGTTGTAGTGTAATTCTTTGTGTATTGTTGTTGTGTTTCTTTTATATTGTTTGCCCAACCAAGCATATACGTAACATTTTTCTCATTTATTTTACACGAAAAAAACTAATACCTTAATAGATTTGTAAAAAAATGCATCTTTGTAGGCAGTTCCATCACAATTCCATTTAACAATTTTACTATGATTAACTTTCTGCTCATCACATTTAGAGAAGTCCATATGTGCATTAATGCTACTGATAAAAGAATTGAAAACCTACAGTAACAATTATTAATGATATTAATTATTCAATATATGTGAATGTAAAATAAATTATATTCCAGGCTATTATGATATGACAATACTTTACTTCATGAACAGCCGGAGTGGTTACAGTTTTCCTCATTTTTTTCAACTGCTTCAGTGAGTGAGGTGTATTTGATCTGCATATATTACTTAAACTGACGCCACTTAATTTTGCCAAAGTACGAACGCATGAAATATCAGACAGCATGAATTCATTCTGCTCTTCATTATCAATATGGTAAATCTGTTCGATATATGTCTCAATTAATAATTATCCTAATCCAAACAACTGTAGACATTTTGCCTGCCAAACAACTATATTACATATGGTGTCTTCACTAGACACAGTTGTACAGCAGACAAAAAAATATTGTATAGATTAAATATAATATAAATAATTAATGTTCAGATGGTCACAGACATTTATATAATTAGAAGAAGAATTTGAAGAGATCAATCAACAATTACCTGCTTGCAGATAAATTTACCATTATTGATAACATCATCAATAATAATTTTTTTATTATTGGAGAGATACTTCGGTTGGCTGTCAACAAATGTACACATATCTTCGTAGCTTGGATCTAGATACCCATAGTCCAATACATATTCAACAACTAGTTTTGTTACTTCACCTTTATACAATATGCCTTGAATATATTCTTTGTATACTGGTAAGGGATTTAAAAGATAATAATATCCATAACTCGTTGTAATACCAATCAAACAGAGTTCACCGCCATCAAATCCAGAAATAAACCTTAATCCAAACGACCATAGATAATGTCATAACAAGCATTGCATTATAAAAAACATTAATCCCCATTTATTCTACATTACCATTCACAAATAGGCTGCTCAGAAATAATTTTTATCTCATTTGATTTTATGGGCATTTCATCTAAAATAGGTATCAAAACGCCCGTAAAAAATAATTTTGACTGTTCTAATAAATCACTTTCTAATGAAACCAAATGACCATTTTTGCAGTGAATTACAAAATTTGTTAGCTTGAACACAGTTTCATCATTATCAGAATCTGTTATAATACAAATTTAATATTACTAATAATTATAAAACAAAATAAATGTGATGAATATTCACCTTCTATTTTGTGAACATATTTAATTCCTTGGCGTTCGGGTATTGCATTCGAGAAAAAACTGTCTGTTTTAACATTGTATTTAGTGTTCTCAGTTGACTGGGAACAAAATTTACAAGTATCTATGAAATAAAACAAATTAGAATATAAAAGGCAAATAACATATAAAATAACACTAAAATTTAAGGTCAATGAGATTAAAATAACTTTAGACTATCATAGTAAAACAGTTAGAATTAATAGCTAATTCCTGAAGACTCTCATGAAGGTTTATACTTTACAAAATATTACAAATAACAATATACTTATATAGAATATAAACATATCATATTCGAATATTGTCTAAGCTTATATAGTTCAAATGATAATTACAAAAGTGATTAAAAAGATAGAGAGATAATTAAAGTAAGTTATTTTACCGTTACTTAATTTAATCTTCTTCCTAAATTTTATATCTGTTGAATTACTATTAACACTTTGTGAAATCATCTTCACATAGCTTCTTGTAATTCTAGCAGATGTCATATCCTGAGCATATTTTGCTTCCATTGGAATATTACCCCCTTTTGAATCATTCTCACTGTTATGTATTACTGAGCCTAAAGCAATTTTTTCTTCTGGGCTATCCATTTCAATATTTGAGTGAAAAACTAAATTAAGCAGCAAAGTAGTTGATTATGATATATAATATAATACAATATAAGTCAACACTGATAACGATTTGTTTCACGTACCTCTAATATAAAGATTATTCTAATGCACATTTACTTATCACAACAAAACTTAAGTTTGATGTATATCAATTAAATTAAAAGATTATGTGCTCCCCATAACTTTTGTGTAATCGAACAATGCACTGAATTCAAACGTGTTTCTTTCATATGCGTGCTATCTAAAGCAGTATAACCAACAGTAAAAACACTAAAGACTTAAAATAACTTAAAGCACACACCACACTACATATATGCAAACCAAACATTTATGCTTATTTACATCTATGTGCCAAACCTTAAGTTTAGGAGATTTAGGAGCCACTGTAATTTTTTCGAAAAACCAAACATTTTTTGTTAGGCTTAAGGGGGTATTCTAGTGTAAAGCAGTGAATTTTAGGTCGTTTTTAAAGTGTCGTAAAAAAGCAATGAATATTTTTACTATCCATTTTTTATCACACGTTTATTAATATTAATAAAATAAAAAAAAATAAAAAAAGTTTAATTTAAAAAACTGACAGCTGATGAAGTGGAGGGGTCTCAAAATATTGGCATCTAAGTTTTCTCAAGATTTCAACCCTCTCAGCCATCTGAAATAAAGAAAAAGATTATTAACCTACAATTATGTCACAATCGCCCGAACAAGCAATGAGTAAAAAACATTATTTTTTACAAAATGGCGACTGTTTGAAAAAAAGTTTTTCGATTTTTTTAAAAATAGTAAAAATTGGAATTTGGATGATGATGCTAGTTCGGGCTACAGATAGGTCTATAAACAAGACTCTCTGAAAATTTCAAGTGAATTGATATAGTGGAACTCAAGAAATCATGGGAAGAGTACCGAAAATGTCTGTTCTGAGAAAAACGCATTTAAAGTTTTGCGTGAAGTTTTTTGCTGTCAAAGGCAAAAAATGATATGCTATTAAATTACCGTAGGGCAAGTTATAGTAATCGCAAAAAAATTGAAAATGAAAATTTTTATATATCTTTACGTTTCAAAACCTTCTGAAAATTTTGGCATACCTTGGAAAAATGGATGTATGTGTGTGTGCGTGCATGTGTGTGTGCGAATACAAAATTTCGTCGACGATTTCGGGAACACGGATGAAGCGATTTGAATTCAAAAAACATTCGATTCGTATTAATAAGGATACGTGCTGATTAGTTTCTGGCGAAAACAGGTCTAGCCGTTCCGAAGATATGGGGCAAAAAGTGCCAAAAACGGTAACTCAGTTTTTAAGAGAAAGGAGCGTCCGTTTTCAATAATTTAAAAATCATTTTACTTGTATTAACAAGATGAAGAACTGATAAAATTTTCATGAAGGCAGGTCTAGCGGTTTCGGAGATCTGGTAAAAAAATGCCATTTTGGCGATCAAAAATGATCATTAGACATATGCACATCAAATTATCAGATATTTTATAGAGATTTTAACAAAAAGTATAAATTTTGTTTACATTTCCTATGGGTTCCGTACCAATGTTTATCCGTTAGACGGAGACGCGGCGCTTACGCGCTTCGATATTTATAGTTAAAGCAGTACGATTGCTTTGAAAAAAAAAATGTTTAGAATTTTCAAAATATTTCAAAATAAATTTTTCTTCAAAAAGTCTTTTTTTCAAAAAAAAGTAAATTTTTGTCAAAAATTTATAGTTTCTCAAAAATCAAATTTTTTCAGAGTAATTTTTTTTTCAAAAATGTTAACCTTTTGAAAAAAAAATTTTTTGGTACAGCAATATGCCTGAAGGCACGATGCCATGCGCTCCACTAGTACTTACTTTTATTTAATCTGCCATTCCTGCTTCATGCATCGGATCTTCTTCTACTTCAAAAAAACTATTTTCTTCGTTTCTTTCTTCCAATGGAGCAGTTCTAGCCTCCTTTGAAGCGTTTGATGTACGTATTTCACATCGTTCAATCCGGGCGTTGTCTCGTGTTACAGCAAATGAATTAGAAGTAATTACAAAGCAATTACAGTTTCGGGCCCAATTTGCATTACCATAAGGGTCATCATTTTTAAAATCGGAAAGAAACCTTCATTGAATATGCAAACAGCAATAAACGTTGCTATTTCAATTACCCGAAACCAGGAATGAATATGTTTCGGCGTGAAAGTCCAAATCAATGAGTTCAGAGACTCCTTATTGTTCTGAGTTTCTGAACCTAAACATCGAATTAATATATCATCTGACGATAAACTGTCATAAATTGGTCTAATGTCTTCCTAATTCCTTTTGTCCGATTAGACCCTGCCGAACCAGTTTGGAGACCGGGCCAGTAAAATGCCTATATCTCCGAAAATAATTCAAATTTTCAAAAAAATTCTCGTACCCGTCTTCTTAGATAGTAAAACTTTGAAAATATTAAAAAATCGATTTTTTCAAAATTCTACCCTAGAATACTTTCTTAAAAATAGTTTTAGAATATATTTTTTTTTATTCTCTATTTTATTTACAACTGTCCAGTTAAGGACATTTAATAAATTTGGGGAATTTACAATTGTCAGCCGTAAGGATTATTGTATACTAAATGGACATGTTGGAAAAACAACTCAATAGTTGTTTTACCATTCGTTATAATATTAACGATATTTTATTGATAATGATATAATCTTAACTATTTACTTATAAATAATTTTTTGTAAATAATGACTAAGTTATTTCAATCTTTATCAGGAAAATTGATGACTTAAATTCAGTGGCGCTTTTTTTTCAACCTACGTCGATAGTTCTCTGTTATTAAGAAGTTTGCTAAATTTGGGTGACTAATGAGCTTGTTTCTATATTTATGTCCTATTTTTGTTATTACTTCTTTTATGGAAGGTGTTTTTGTGTCGAGATGAATTAGCAGTTCGGGATATATTTTGGTGCTCCTAAAGCAATTTTCAAAAATTTGTTCTGAAACTTCTGTATCATTTCTATATTAGTCTTATGACCACTGCACTTATGAGCTTTTTGTCTTGAAACCGTTTCTTAACGGGTTAAGTATGCCAAACGGTCTTTGACGGTTGCGCCAAAAGTAGGAAGCTCTAATATAAAATCATCAACTAAAGAAAACAAGAAAAAAATCATAAATATAGAAAAACACCTGTATATTGCTGGGGTAATAGTAAAAAAATTAAACTGACAATTTGTCTTTTTTTTTGTCTCTAATTCATTTCAAAACTTTAAACGCTTCTCGAAACACGATTTTTTAACGCGGCACGCAAAATAACTACTATCATTTTTATTTTTTCATTCGAATTTTTTACTGTAAATTTAGAATAATTAATAATTCAAAGCACCCATTTTAGCGTATTTTCTGTATGTTAATTTATTCAACAAATATTAACATTAATAAATTACTATCCGTTTTTTCGTTGAAATTAACGACTTTATCCAGGTGCTCACCAAACAAACAAAAATCGATATTTTTAAAATTTGCTACAATAGGCACTTTAAAATATTATTTTAAATACACAGTAAAAAATGACAAAAAACTAAAAATTGTTGTATTTATTTTGCGTCCCGCGAAGCGCCTCCAATTTGATGCGGCCCGCTGAAGTGGCTGTGGTGCCGCTATTTAATTTATTTTTAGAATGATATTTTATTTTGTTACTTTAAGGTACAATAAATAACTATCTTATCATGGGTTAATTACTTTACCTTCCGTCCGAAAAAATGGCAAAAATATACGTCTCCTTAGGCTTTTACTTTTACTGATTAGAAGATACCGGACAATTAACTATATTAGCGGAACTTATGTCTTGATATTAGACATGCAAGCAGATTACGGACCAATTTTATTTCTGTTTCCTGTATATAAAATTTAATGAAGTTTCTTATTTTGTCGTATTCTCGTATTGAAATACAATCTACTGTGCGGTGGTGTACGTTTACAATTGTTATCGTTTGCAGACATCGGTAAATACCGAACATGTGGTTGAACAGTAATATCTTATTTATTGCTTATTTACTATGAGTAATATAATATACATATACTGTAAAGTTTCTAGAAAAGTGTTTATTAATTCGCGTATTTTAATAATCGATTAATTGCATTTTCTAGAAAAAACCTAGAAGTCAAACTTACAAATGCCATTGCCGTTACATTGATTTTGGTAATCAAACACGTATTTTGCAAGTACTATGTACCCTGATCAGGTTATTTCACAAAATTTTTAATACTAGTGATGCAAAATGCAATGACAAGCTAAATATATTTATAACATAGTTTATTAAGTCTAATAATCCGACCGTAATATACTACATCGACTAAGTTATTAGAAAATAAGTTTATTAATAATAATAATAATGCCTGAAATAATTATATTGAATAAATATATAATTTGTCGATAGAAGTACAGTAATACCCCGCTTAACGCAGGGGATACGTTCCATCAAATAAAAGCGTAATGCAAAACGAGGCTATCTTTAATATAAGTGGAAATATTGGGCTTCAGGAAATATTAGCTTAATGGTATACTGTGGTAAACATTATACTTGTTTATCTATGGTGGTAAATTTCTTTGTCGATCAATATCGACAGTCGTTTTTCTATTTCCTCTATGATGTTATATTCTAGCACGCAAAGCTCGACTTGAATGAAAGAGCGCTAAACCGAAACAGCGCTAAACAAAACAGCGTCAAGCGGGGTATCACTGTAATTATTTTAGGCAAAAGTATTTTACTATAGTTTTAAATAATAAATAAGAAAATGTTCAGAAGCTACAAGCAATTAATGATAAAATTTTACAATAATAAATTAAAAAAAATAATAAGACAGTTGTATTTTGTCGGGTGCATGTATTGATTTACTTTGTATGACCTTAGTCTATGATCTACTCTATGTTGACTTATGTTGTATTCAGTGAACATAATCAAAGATTTCCAGGATAAACTACTGTATCGTGATATCTTCCGGATTCTCGTTGGTCAGCTTTGGTGTTGAAACAATCCGCTTTGCATGGTAGATCCCAGCAGCATGGTGGTGCTTTTGGTGCGTGCTTGCATCCTGGGCGGCAACATGGCATGCAGTTGTTAACTAGTGTGATACAAGATTATTTTATGTTATGTACATGTGAGAACACTTTTATATGGTAGTTTAATTTAATTTAATAGTATTTTAAATTTAAAAGTTTAATTTCTATTTAGAAACTACGAAATTAGTTTGCTAACTTGTTTTAGTTTTGCTCAATTATTGATTTCTGTAGTTTTAAACATCGTATAAAACTCATATATATTAGCTCAAAATTTGTACTTATGACTTCTTGTTAACAATCTTTTTGCAAAATCTTTTGCTATTCACTTCACTTTTCGGTCACTAAGCCAAAAATTTCAAATTTCTGCATTTATGCTTTTCAGTATTTTAAAGTATCACTTTTTGAACACAGTTTTTTCTAAGAATTATCACAATATTTGCATTAATCATTCAATGTAGTTTGTTCATTATCATAACAAATCAAATGATTTTGGAACAATTCGAATTGGTTCTAATCTACATATCTCACTTATCGATAGTACACTGAATATTTTTGTTGTGCTTTTTTCTTAAAAACACATACTTGATGTTGTCAAACTTAAATACTTCCAATTAAATATCTTATTTGATATAATACACCAATAAATTTATGTAAAATGTAAAATATTCATATTTAAATTAAAGTATGTGTTTCTTGTGAGACTGTCAGGAAGAGAGAGCTTTGAGACCATGCTTTGTGTGGTGTCATGGCTTTCCTATCTTGCCTGATGAAGTAAATGATCATATTAATGCTAGTCTCTATAATTCTGTAGATTTCCAAACAGCATTGCACACAAATACACATACATCCAATTTAGAGAATTTTGGATGGTACATATATAATTTTTTTTTCAATTTTTATAATTTGACCGACGATTTCGACGCCTACTCTGCACATTTTTTATTAGTAAACAGCAAAAGCTGAACTGTTAATTAAACATTATCTATTAATGAGATAATCTTACGCATTGTCGTTGATGGTTTTTGGCAGACAGGTGGAGGGCACGGCGGATGAGCGCTTGTAGCCGCAGTTACACAGCATTCCGCTTTCTGCATTATTATTTTGAAATGTGAATATTAGACGTAAAGACTATATTAAAAAAGAATTTTTCATGAAAATATTTAATGAAATATGCTGATCCTATAAAGTGAACTTTTCATTATGTTGCGCTTACATTACGCTTACAAATTGCAGAACCTTCCAAATTTACATTGTGTATTTGGTTTATTGCGAATAAGTTTAAGGTATCTCACTAGAGGTATAGTTATCTATTAATATAAGTTAGAGTTCATACAATACCTATATAACGACATATTTTTATGAAAAACTTATTACAGCCGTTCAAATTATTGTAAATTTTCAAGTGAATACCATACCATAGGACATGTTGGTGCTGGACAGGGAGAACAGGGTCGGCAAGGTAAGCAAGGCGAATACACGATTACTTCGGCACAAGGCTGATTGGAGCATTGCGGCATTACTGATCTGCTTTAGTTTTAAAATTTTTAATAACCACACATACACACATACACACACATATATGTGTATATATACATACACACACACATATATATATATATATATATATATACATATATACATATATAATTAATCCTTTCCAATCGGATGCCGCCATTCGGGCGGCAAAATACACAGAAATTCTGGAATTTGCGAGTGAAAAGGGTTAAATCGTTATATATTATATAATATACAATGTATACAGTGCGTATGTCGTGAATGTGTAGGCATGTATGTATATGTAAGTCACATATTATTACTTACTAACGCTGTTTAGATCTGATGTATGGATGTAATTCCTTTAAAATATAAGCAGTTTGTTCACTTTAAGATGGTAGTATTTTTATTTAATTAAAACCAACATTAGCTCGACATTTTTAAATTATTTTACTTTTGTTTTTTTGGTGCTTATATATTTTTTGTTTTTTTTTTTAGTTCAAGTTATTCTCATAAGCTTAGTGAAAAGAACATCGTTATTAGTGTCATTAGTGTCAATATTTTTCCATAAAACATTCAAATATTTATTGTCTGCCTACTGCAGCTGTCAATAACCATCAAGTCACATTGCGTGCTAGGGGTAAGTAGCACTTTGCCTTGAAAATTACATGAACTTTCTGCTACGTGTGAATAAATAATTGACTTTCAGTGTTATGATTCAGAAGTTAGATGAAATTTTCAATCGTTTATTTAGAAAATAAACGACTTCGCTTTCATTAAAAATTAATCGATACTTGTATGTCCTAAAAGCGCGGCCCTTATTTCAAACTTTAAAGAGATTTTATATTTAAATCACATATAATAATTTACTATATTAAATAATATAATACTTGATTTTCGTGAACTCTATCGTGATGAAGCGATTCCCAACTGATATATCTCGGATGGTTTTTAAATATTCAAAATCGGCTTAGGATTTTAGCGAAAACATGGACGAAATATTTTACACTTTTGCTAATTTTATTTACAGAAATGGCTCGGCCGAGCGTTTTGCAAGACTAATTAACGTGAGTCCTTATCGAGTTTCATCGAATGGTTTTCAAATTTTTCGGTTCAGTCGTTTTGGAGAAAATGTCGCCGAAAGGTTAATTTTCGGCTCAACATATATACTTCTTCCCAATTTTGTCGGATTTTTCGCCAAAAACATAAACTAGTTCAAAAAGATAAAAATAATTCAATAATACGTTGAAAATTATGCTTCTGAGGCGCGTCGAATGTCCTTCGGAACAAAACTCTCCGTGTCAAATAATTAGAAATCATTAAATTCTTTTTTTGTACTTTTTGGATATCAAATTGTTAGTTCTCATAGTTGCTGCTTTAATAAAAATAACAAATAGTTAGGAAAACTATATCTATAATGTAAGATATTATTTTCTTACTATTTTTACGGAAGCCGGAGTTCTTGAAGCACATGCTTCTGTGTACAAAGATTGGTTTACACTTAAAGAAGGAAATGTGCTTTTTTGAGTTTAGTTTCATTCCACCGAGATGTTACAAACAATAATCCAAATTCAAGATTTTGCAGCATATATATCTTATTTTTAGTGTATAACGCTATCTGATTTCGTATAATTGTGAGTGTGTTCTGTTCGCAAGATTCACTTTTCTGTATTTCATTGCGCTTGCATATTATATTTTTTTAAATTATATGGCATGTAATTTTAATAGCGACAGTTATGGTCTATCTGTAGATAATATTGGATTTCACTTCTGTACTAATTTCGACTAATTAGTAAACCTGTATAATTTACATACATATCACATGTACATATGTTTATGTAAATGTGTAAATACCCTGAAAGATTTTTATTTTTATTATGATTTGTTGGCGTTTTAGTAGAGTTTTATTTTGATAATACGTCCTTACTCTACATTTTGCAGAAGTTCGTACCATATTACTACTCTAGATAATAAATAAATAAGTTTTCTAATAACGTTTCAGCAAAAATTCAAATATAATTTGAATGTTTAGAATCTTGGAGAAATCAGTGTCCTCAAATGTATAGAAATTTCTATTCATCTTTTCAACTCGGATCCATCCAAGTACTCAATGAAAACCATCAGGCATAATTAAATATCATGCATCTATTTGTTACATTACACTGCGCGACAATAAACACTTTTCCTGATATGTTATGATGGTCTTTAAGTAATTTGAGGACACTGATTCCGAAAACAGAAACTTACTAACAAATCTAGTTTTTGAGATATACCAATATGCTAGTTTTACCTCAAATTACAATAAAAAATGCAACATATTTCATTTTATGCTTCCAAAAGTCTTTATATGATTTTTGCACATGGACGAGGCTTGACTGATTTCGTCATAAGCTCTAACAATTGTCAGCTATCATGTTTAACTTTCCTTGATATCGCTCCTACAAAGTCCTGATGTCTTGGTGGATACTCTCGCCCTGTTCTTCGCTAATATACCCAAAATTTTCCGAAAACCGTTCTGGATAAGAGTGCGGGTGATGAATTCAAATCAATTACATCAAATATATCAGATTTTAATTCTTCCTGTCTTCTCCTTTAACGTTGGTTACTGCATCCATTACTTGGTAGGCAGGAGATGTTGATGTTCTAGGTTCCTCATCATTAGCATGGATATGGGTTGTATAGCTGATCATAAGTAGACCTTAATACCATTGGGGTTGTGGTTTATGACAATTTGGTTCTATTGCCTGAATTTATTTCATTGGTATTTACCACATAGACGAAACAATCGATGTTTTATCTTTATTGCGCAAAGCAGTTTTAAAGTGGTTAAAATAAGATGTCTTTGCGCAGTTCTACATAGGTTTCCGGTATTTGTCAAAAACATATTAAGCACATATGTAACAAAAACTATCTGAATTATGCACAAAACGTCTTAGAGTCCAAGCCATACCAAAAACAGCAGATAAAGTCGTATTTATTCTTTAAACTGCAATAATTATAGCCGAAATGACTAATTGAGGTAGTCCCCTAAAACTACAAAACTGGAGCTGTTACGAAAGCTCGAGGAAAAAAATAAAAGTGCCATTTTTGTCGCGCAGTGTTATTAATGATTTAAAATATGTACTTACCTGGGCAGTGTTACGGTCCCAGTCGTAAGTAGATCTGACACGATTGAGTTGAGCGTTTGTTTTGTTATGCTCGAAACTGTCTGTTCCTGGTGATGAAAAGCGATAGCTTTGATCGCGAAATAGAAAACGCCGTCGAAATTCGCGCTTGAATTTATCCTGAAAATATAAAATTAATATAAATTCAGATATATATTTTTCAATTATCAAGTCGAATAAATATTTTGTAGTATGTTTCCATGTATACTCATTATATTTGGATTTTATTTCTCTACTAATTCAAATTGTGTATTTATCTAGTACATGTAGTTAAAAATAACGATTATATAGATAACACATGTAAGTTTGTGTTTTATGATCTATATATGCATCAATACTCTGACGGTTAATTATCTTGTGGTGGCTTTGAGTAAGACGTCAAATACCATGTGTTACCACGTAATATTTTAAGATTTTGATTATCTATTTATAATTTTTTATTTTAGATTTATTTATTTACTCATATCTATCTTTAAAAATGGTTTCAGTTAGTTTATTTTTATTTTGAAATCTATATCCTCGCAATGAATAGTAGTCAAATTGATACTGGAAACGTACGCATCATTGAAAGTTACTTATAACTTAATTTTGCTTTTTAATAATTGAAAGTATACTTGCAAACTTTTTACATAAACATAACTTACACACAATAAAAAGAAATAAAGCGAATGGCACTAATTAGGAGAAAAGTATAATTAAGAAAGATAATCATAGCATTCTAGAACCTCCCCCTGTTAAGTAATGCCTTAACAGCGGTTCCCATGAGGCAAGGGGCATAATTTTATACATAAAATTTTTCTGTAATGATGTATGTAAATATACTCCTCCTGAACGATTATTAGGATTTTGATCAATCTTTCAGAAGTTTGTTAAAGATTATTTTAGGATGTATGTGATTACAAAAATATAGTAATATTGTAGAAATAAATAGAAAAAATTGCAAAAAACGACATGTCATTGTTTGTTTGGCATTGTAAATATTTGAGACTTTATTTGCCATTGAAAACAAATAAAAACTGTCATATGGGGGCGTCCATTAATCACTTGAGCGAGTTTTTAAGGATTTTTGGACCCCCCCTCTTCCTTGGCGATACATGGTGATATTCAAAATTTACCCCCACCAAACAACATATGTATTTTTAGTTGCGCGATAAAACTGTAAAGTTTTTGATTTTTATTGAAAATGTTTTAATTTAAAAAAAAAATCAGTTAAAAATAAATACACATAATATCTTACTATAACCATCCCTCCCCCACGTGATATTTTGTGATTTTTTGTCTTTCTAAAAACCTCACTTGATTAATGGACGCCCCCTATGCCAAAAATTTCAATTTACTTATGAGCCTAGACAATATAAGAATATGTATAATAAATTCTTGATTATGAATAAGAAAAAGGAAATGTCTACATTATTATTGCCAAAAAGCAGCTGAGATGTGCTAGAAATTAAAAAAATATAAGTTACAGTATATGTATGGCAGATTGAATGATACACATATGAACAGGATTTGACAAATAAATTCACTTTCATTTTGATAATATTCTCATACTTCTGAAATGGTATTTCTTCCACAATTTTATACATTTTATATAAAAAATCCACCTACTTTTCTTAAATATATTGTTTGTTTAAATCATATCAAGATCATGTTTCTTGACAGATGTCCTAAAGATGAAACGTACCTAGTTCCAAAACGTCGACAGTGAATAAATAAAGAAATGTTTTTTTAAAACAAAACTTGTTTTTTATTACTTTTTGGATTTACTGTTCTTCATTATACTTACATTATATATTCCATAAATAAATGGATTGTAGCAACTATTACTCATAGCGAGCCAATCACATGTGAAAAACACAATGTTGATGTATTTGTACCTAAAAATATGAAAAGGCATAATATAATGGTTTGTCACAAAATTACTATAAATCTACTTTAAATTATTATAGTATCAATGGTCTCTTCACTGAAAACTGGCTACATGCAACATGCAAGAAGTACATATATGTTTAAACACTTACTCATTTACTGCGGGAAAGGCAAATTGCAATAAGTTGTACGTTTGAAGAGGAAGCCAGCACAACGCGAATAGAGCAACTACAATTACCAACATCTTTATGACCTGATAATGAGAATTATTACAAATTCAATATAATGACACTCGTATTAAAAATAAATCTTGCACATCTACTATCATATAATATGTAATAAATCTGAATATCAGAATGACTTTCAGGTTGACTACTTTAATAATTTCAGTTAGAATAAAAGTATATAATATATGAACATCTAGAAATAACTTTGGACATCAAAAAATATGTTTTGGCACATAGTTACCAATTTAGAATTAATATATTTTTGCCAGCTTTTGACACCAAAAATGCTCACACTTGATTTCCAGAGGTCTTTTATGGATTATAAATAATTTCATATTCATTTATATGATAAAGGCTCGGTTTACCTTCTTTTTGTTTCTGGTTAAAGAAGCATCTCTCAAAGTTTGCGCATTACCTGGAGCACGAGAGCCCCAAAGCTTTAGAGACATTCTGGCATAGACACATGTTATGATGCACAATGGCGTGACATACTAGAAACAGAGAATTTAATTGCATGATGTATATTATATATAATGAATATGGTATCCCTTATGGTTACAAAATTGTATATGATTCATCATATATAACAATAAATAACAAGATTTTCACATTTCACAATACATTCTTTATTGTGAATGTGATACTTAATTAAAATGGCTATAGTTTTCATACTTATCAATTCGTAATAATGAAATAGAAATACTTACTTGCAAAAATACTAGTAAATATCTATAGACCATCAAAACATTGTCGTCTAATCGAACATTTCGGCAAAACGGCTTTTTCTTCATAATACCAAGTTCGTCTAATTAAAATGAATATAGTTATTAATATTAACCCCATATAAGTCACAATTTTATATGCTAAATTAGTGCAGACTTCTTACTTTGCTCCTCGTCAAGTACTTGCTCCACTTTTAAAGCGATCGCTATCGGCGATGCAAGAACCGCAGAGACCAACCATATTAATGTTATTATTACTTTAGCTTTGCTTTTTGAAGGTCGAGCTCTGAAAAAATATTTGTTATTGTTTAAAAACAAACCCTGATATTCTAACACAATATAACATATCTAAAAATAGACGAATCATTTTGATACTTCTTCGATAAATGGAAAAATTAAACAACTTATGGACGTTTAAAACTTCTTTAAAAAACACTAATTAAAAAATTTATAGATGTAGAGCACTTCAGCTACTTTGGAAGCATCCTTTAACAGAGATCAGGCCAAAGATCGAAAGCGTCAAAGCGAAATTCACGAAAAATGGATGCTATTCACGAGCAAATTGGGTTTCCACTTTGGAAAGAAACTATTAATTATATTAATATCTAGAGTAAAGCTTTGTACAAATCACAGACTCTGAGAAAGATCGACAAAAACTATTTGTAGAGTTTTGAGATGTGGTGTTGGTGACGATTGAAAAGGATCAAGTGAACAAATAAGATAACAAATGAATAAATACAGAGGAGAGTAGGAGAATAAAAAACTCTACTGAAGACGATCATGAAAAGTAGGGAAAACTGGATCGAACCCATATTACAAAAGAGTGACTGTTGCACGATGTTGTCAAAAATAAAATATAAGGACTGATAGGATTAGGAAGAACAAGACTGAGACTCAGATGATAGATAACTTACACGAGAAGAGAAAATACAGGAAACTGAAAGCCGAAGCACAAGACCAGAAAGTATAGAAGCAGAAATTTGGAAATGTGAATATTAATAATAATGGACAAAAGAGGGAGGCGGAGACTGTAATTTGTGGTGCTTTCAGATTATGGAGCTGCCTTAGAAAGGGCAGAAAACTTGTAATAATAATAGTAATAACGGAATAATTCTTATTGTATCAAAAAGAAAACAATCATGTGACAAATGAAAGTACAAAATATCATTTTTCTGCTAAGCATTAATCTAAAATTATTTAAACTATACGCTAGTAGATGTTTAAAATAATGGACAACATTTGAAATAAAATACTATTATGTAAAATTTTAGTTATCATTTGCTTTCTGTTGCGCTTTACAAAACAATAATAAAAAGCGATATAATATATTTACTCATTACTCATTGTTAAATTAGTTTTAGATTATCAATAAATAAATACCTACTGCATTTAGGTACCTGAGAGGCGTCATAATGGCTCTGTGCCTGTCAATCGCGATGGCAGTCAGCGTGAAGACGCTGACGTTGACACTGAGCGTTTGAATGTAAGGGCAGAAGGCGCACATGAATTCGGGCAAATCCCATCGCTGCAGCAACGCGGCTTGAAACTGAAACCATTGAAATAAATACTTATAAATTTTGTTAATTATTGCAAAATCGGCATTGAATTAAGTTAAATTAGCATCGTTTTGACTGTTAACAATTTTTTACAGTATATTTAGATTATACATTAAATGTTTATCATTAAGTCTCATTCTACTTCTTCGTATTCTAAAAGAAGAAACTTTGTCATGAATCTTGGCCTAACAAGTAAGACTCCTAATATCTGTAAAGGTTTGGTTTCATTGGCTCTCATATATTGGGAGACAGGGTACGTTTGTGCCACCAGGGAACGGTGGTGACAGTTGTCATAAAATCTAAACTATACAGATTTTAAGATAGAGTCCAAGAAGAGAAAGATGTATTATGTTTGTTTGAACAAGTTCTCATTATTGCGTTCATTCGGCGCACTGCGTTAACGTGCCTTCAACACTGCCTTTAAGAAGTCAAAAGTAAGTTTTCTCGTGCGATTTCTTTCAATGATAACTATATACAGAGAGATTACTTTGTTGTTTATTTTCCTGTATGTTGAACATTAGTAGTTAATTATCAGCAATTACCTTTAGCGTAGATAATTTAGCGCGATCATAACGATGATTTGTATCCAAAAGTGTGCGCTGGCCCAGCGCCGCTGGGTTCGATTGTGACAACTTTTATGGATACGGTTGTAAAATGTGTTTTTTGTCCTTTTCGAATGAAGATTAAACAGATAAAAAAATTAACTTAATTAAGACGAAATGCAAAAAAGAAAAAGACATAAAAATCAATGTAAGACAAAAAAAAGGTTTTACAAAGATTTCTTATTAACTTCGTTTAAAAAAATAAGTTTTATTATATATTGTTGCATTTCTGACAATGAATGTAGTTTCTGACAATAAAACTTACATTGGTGTTTATACCTATTGTTTTTTAACCTACTTTTATTCCGGTCACAACCGTCCCTGAGGGTGTAGATGGTTGTGACACTTGCCCTTTTCTGTATGATTTGATTTCACAATTTCCATGTACACAAATGTTCAAATTATCATTTAATTCGCTTTTCTCACAGCTAACTTTTGAATTAACAAAATTATTGCTGATCAAAAAAAGTGGCACAATCGTACCCAGCCACCCCTATGTACTTATGGTTCCATATACATTTATACATATACATATTTTATGCCAAAAATATACTAGTGTTTTTATAAAGGTTATCGGTTAGCTTTGGAAATCAATGTTAAAATAAAAGCCATGGCAATAACGTACTTATTTCTTATCTAACTCGTCCTCTTAAAATATTTACAAATTTACAGAAACCAATTCACACTTATAAATATATTTATATATTACGATATATATTTATAATTATGTACTACTAAAGCCTAAAATCATATAAAATTATAAAGACAGTGAAAGAAAGAAATTAGTATGAAAAATCGACTTTGTGAAAGAAAGTAGAAGGGTGAAAATAAAGTTACAAGGATATCGTTGGCAAGAAGAATTATTTTTGTTCTAGTTACTTACTCAATTAGCCAAAAAACTTTTCGAGTCCTTTTGTTGTGACTGTCGTTGGAATCAATAGCCAAGTCTGATAGAATATTATGAGTTCTCCGCGTTATTGAAAAAGTTCACCGTCATGTGGGCAGCGGGAAAATCTGTAAAATAATAACGCAGCCATCGTAAAACTAATTTAGAAAAGATAGAAATCTTTCGTATAAATGTTAAAATCATTTCTTTTTTCGTTAACGGATTATTTGACTTAGCATAGAATATTAAATCGACATTTTATTATGAGATTGTAGAAAAAAAAACGAATTTGCACCAGAACAAAAATTAACGTAGATTTGAATCGATCGCATATTAGGTAAAATATATTGACATGACGGATGGACTAAATTGATTAAAACAAGCATCAATTATTGGAATTATATTTTAATTTAAAAAATATAACCCTACGATAAATTTAAAAAATAAAAAAAAATTATACAATACTAATCATAATAAAAAACAGTACATAAACATATTAAGTTAATAATTATAAAATTCTCTAATTATTGAAATATACTCATATGTATATATAAATATATATATATATATATATATATATATATATATATATATATAATTGGCATATCAATATGATTTATGTATATGTATATACGTATATGTGTAAATTGATAAAATCAACCTAAGTATAAAGGATAGAGAGATGTACAATAGCCATATCTATTTAGACAAATTAGCAACTATTCCTGAAACCAATGAACTTTCTAACATTCTTCAATTTGATCTATTGTATCTCAAGTTTTTATTCCTACACCTTTGTATTATGTTATAAAAATACCTTTATAGGTTTCTTGGTGGATTTTAGATACTTGGTTTCAAAAATTCACTTCACAAATATATGTTTGAAGGAATATTTTTTACAATAAAAGTAAAAGTCACATAAAATAGCAAAAGTTATCAATATACCTTGAATTAAACTAATTAAATATGTTTTTTTTTTTTAATTTTAGTAATCGATAAATTTTTATATAATTTGACTAACTTTAAACTTTAAACAATAATAGGCAAAATAAATGATATCAAATGAAATTTTGTGCTTTGTTTGATTTGAACTAATTGTGAGTAAAATGTTCTAGCAAAAATATGTTATTTTTAGGTTTTTATTTTTTACTCGAAATTTTTCAATAATAAAATTTTCAAGTATTTTACGATTTTGCAACCCTGATTAAATGCGTCAACTTATAATGAAACTTGCCAACACATTTTAGTACATTTTTTCTACAGGAGGGCCTCTCAAAGTGGATCGATTTTGGCAAATTTTAATTTATACTTTAGTAAAAAAAGTCTTAGTTCTAGAAAACTGGGGACAATACTGTTATTGGTTTTGATTATGGTCTTAGAGATGTTATGTATGATCATGGTTTTAAAGTCTTAATAAACAAAATTAGGTAAAAATAACAACAAAAACCAAAAATTGGTCATAATTTCACCAAAGCTCTAGGTTGCACTCAAAAGCTCATAATTTCCAATCAACGTGAGATATTTTTTTCTATTTTTTTTCAGGTCAGTTAAAGTCAATACTCATACTAATCACCTCATTTCGGCTTGACTTAAATGCTTCCAAATTGATAAAAAAAAAATCTAAACGTTTTAGCTCTTAATATTAACCTTAAGATAGTCCGCAGTTTTTAATATTTCCTATTGCTTGTTTGTAAACCTTTTTCAGCACGCGGATTTTGAAACCGCAATCTAACATTATTGGCATATCTATTTTTGATGAATTTATTATTGAAATAACTCTAATAGTGTTGACTTCTTATTGGATGCAGCAATGCCGAGTGAGGGCTATTTTGACTTGAAAACATATTGCTATCAACAGAAATCCATATCACAACTGCTTGACGCCAGTCTGTCCAATTCTGATTGGAAGCACATAGCGTAAACCACTAATCCGCAAAAGAGCCCACAGGTTTTTTTAAAAATAAATTTGTTCTCACCTGAAAGGGTATGGCAAAAAGTCCTATAACAATGTCGGCAAGCGCCAGATTGGCAATGAAGCAATTAATGACTGACTGCATGCTCCTCGAAGTGGCTACTATCCATATGACCAGGGAATTACCAGCCACCGACATCACACTAATTGACCCATAGAAAACCGACAGTAGGGCTATTATCGAACCGGGCACTTGGTACAGTAAATCTGTAACGATATCAAATGAGGAAAACACACCAGAAATAACGACCAAACACATATCACTTCAGAAAATGTTTATATATAACGGTAATAATTTACTGTAATTCATCATATAATGCAAATTAAAAATTTACTGTAAATTATTATTGTTCTCTGACAAAAAGATGAAAAAAAAAGATCATCTTGCAGATCTCTGTAATCCTACTCTAATATAACGTTATATAAAATGTAAATGTTATTCACGCGAAAAAAATATATTACATGTAAATATTCAGAATGGCGATTTCATGTAAAAAATCTGTTGCCAAATGCCAAATTTTAATATTGTTTTCATATAACTATTTGAAGATATTTGTGATTGTTTAATATTGATTACTATTTAAAACTAAATACCGTACCATAAATCATGAACTATTTTCATCATAAAATATTAGAATATTAGTGTCCCAAATTTCCTAGCAAAAAGTTTCGAACATAATGCAAATATTAATGTCTTCCTGAAGTATATGAGTCTTCCTAACTCAGATGAATCCTGGTTTTTCCCAGGAAAAGTTAGAGATGCTAAACAAATTTTCAGAGTCCATTTCTAAGGAATCGATGCATGTACAATACAGTTAATGGTTAAGGATGTATAATAAATAAAATCTAGGTGTAAGTGGCATATTGTCTTAGTCAAGTTGCAAGTTGATATGTGTAAATAATCGTGTAAATCAATAAAAATTGAGTTAAGTTATTTAGCTAAATTTTCAAAGATTTATTTAGATCTTTATCTATCTTTACCAAGGGCTAATCACTCCCACCTGATAACTTTCAATTTTAAAAAACGGTTCAGGGTTTTTGGCAATGGCAATATAAACGGTTCATGTATGTACTTTTTTGTCAATTTTAACTTGCAAAATTGATTGAAGCGTGTTCTTATCAAGTTTCAAAAAATGGTTTTTAAATGTTTTAAATTGGTGCAGCTATTTTTGAAATAATGCTTATAAAATAAAGCGGTAAGGTAACAAGAAATAAACCGCATAAAAAATAAAAATGAACGATCATTTAAGAAGGATCAAGTTTAATTGTTACGAAAAAAACTTAAATACATAATTACTATTAGAAATGCAGATCATTTTTGTTATTCTCAAAGTTAAGATTAGACGGTACTTTTTAACCAACACACTTTTATGGTGTTATTTATTTAATAAAGTTTAAATTTCTAAAAAAGAATCATATTTGATTTTTGATAACTTTTTATTTTTCTTTGAAATATTCTAAACTTTTGTATCGATTCTTATATTATAGATTATTATCCAATAATATATTAATAATAATTATTTCGTTTACTGACCTTCATTGATTTCCGTACTATTAAACATGCTTATATTGAACAAAATTGTAGAAGAATGAATAAGATTCTGTCCATCAGTGCTGCTGAAAATATATTAGCACCGTTAAATAAAATGCATAATTAATAATGAAAGTTTATTTGCTTATTTCTGAAGGTGAAGAAATGTCATTTATTTATATTTAAGATTGAATTATGTTTATATATATATATATATATATATATATATATATATATATATGTGTATGTGCTCAAAAATGAACCAGCTAGGTACCACCAGCTGGTACCACCAGCTGGTACCAGCACCTATACCAGGTTGGCAAAAAGGAACTAATTTAAGTTAGTTATTTCAACTTGCATTTATGTTGTTGCTTGACCATTTATGAAAGTAGTTGCAAAATAATTGTGCAGGCGACTGTATATTGAACTGTATATTGACTAATATTTTTAGAGTAAAATAATTTTGATCAGGATTCACTTGGCATGAATAGTCTATAGATACATAAATCATAAATTTAGTTTCATTGTCCGGCAACTTATGGGAAAGAGCAAACGCTTCTACCAATTATAAAATGAACAAAAATTATTATATCTAGAAAATTCTAAATTCATAAAACAACATAGTGCTTTGAGATTCTATACCTCAAAAATGGAATATATATTATTCCTTATTTTCTTATTATATAGTGAAAAATAAAATAATAAAATTTTTACTCAAAAAGTTAAAATCAAATATACCGAATGAGTGAAAAAAACTTGTTTAATCAACGATTTGCAAAATTAATAGCAAACTAAACACAGCAGATAAAAGAAATCTTGACAAAAAGCTTCGAAAGATGTTAACCGAAAATCAAAAGGATTTGGCGAAAACACATAAATACAAAAGAACTATGTTAAAAATATATTTTTTTCTGAAATCAATTTTTATATGTATTATTAATTTCGATAAAATGATTTAAATTTTTGCGCTTCAAAAATTTGAAAAAAAAAACAAATTAATTTCTTTTGAAAAAATCAGAGAAAAGTTTAAGCATCTTTGATATTTTATGCGGCAATGAGGTTAAAATTGATTTATTTAAATATAATTTTATTAATTATGTCAACTAACTTATTAAAACATCCTTATGTAAAATAGAAGACAACTCTTGTTTTAGGCGAACACATATTTCCTACATACATATATATATATATATATATATATATATATATATATATATATATATATATGTGTGTGTGTGTGTATACATATATTTATATTAAATATGTACACACAAATGAACTTTAAAATAAGCTCTTCAATATTTACATTATGTTCTTGTTGTTTAATTAACTGATTATATGTTCTTTTGTAATTTCTATACTGCGCGTCGTATAATCGGCCTTCTACCAACAAACACTCAAATTGAAATAGAGCTAAATCTATTGTGGGTTTATAGAATGTTAATCTGATATTTCATATTCAGTAATCCCTTATAAATAATTTCCTTTATTTAATCCTACTTCTTTATAAACTAGTGGCGTATGGCATCGTGCCTTAAGGCAATTTGCTGGATCTTCCCGTACCATAAGGAAATATTCGAGAAACATTAAATGTTTTCAAATAGATTATTATAAATACTGTAACATTTTTGAATATTTATAAGAATTATATAAACTGAATTACAAAGTTAAAATAATTTATTTAGAGTATTTAAGTAAGCTTTAGAACTTTAGCCAGAATTAGAATTAAAATCTGAATGATTTTTTTGAAGGAAAAAATCCGAAAACAATTGTTTTGCCAACACGAGCAAAATGTTTTTTGGATCATTCAAATCGGATACTCCGTTCTCTCAATAACACTGTTTCTATTTTCTGCACACTTTGCTCTGTATCTCCGTAATGGCTAGACCTGCCTTTGGCAAAAACTAATCAGCACATCTCCCTATCAATAGAAATCGATTGCTTTTTGAATTTTTGAAATCGGTTAATCCATACGCCCTAAATCGTCGACGAAAAATTGTCTCCACACATACACACACACACATTCATTTTTTGAGATATGCCAAAATGTTCAGAAACCCCTGAAACGTAAAAATATGCAAAAATACATACCCGACGGGAAGTTAATAAGACGAACTTGTATATATATTTATTTTGGCTGTTGGATAATTATGTTAAATTATATGATTCTGGTTGTTGTACAATAACAAAATTCTATATAAAAACAGAAAATGTCACTAACTCAAGGATCTAATCGAAAAAATGACCGAACTAAACCTGAACGTCTACAACGTCTTACAACGAAAAATTAAACCATATTTCCGAAAAATCGTTACATTTCAATTGATCAAGAATTCAGTACAATAATATATTTTTATATATACATATTAATAAATAATCCATATCAATCCTCCATCAACAATAAAAATATTTAAATATACATATAAGTTTATAATTAAACATTTAGATATGAATTCAAAACAAACAATTAAGTATTAAATAAATAAATTTGAGAATGGCAAAGAAACTAAAAAAATCAAATTTTTTTATGAGATTAATTTGGTAAATTGCCACCATTACAAAACGACTTTCCCTTTTCGCTTTCAATGATGAATCATTAGTAACTTTTAATTATCAATTGTAATTAAATTATTAAATTACGAATCAACTCAAATACTTTATTTGTATATACAAATCTAGGTATGTTTAAGTATGTTTAAGTTTTCACAAAGAATTCTTTAGAAGTACCTATATTGTTTAGTTAAATACCTCGACTGAAGCGTTAAGTAATTGGAATATTACAGAATCATTTTAAGGCCGGCTCTGTAAATGTACACAAACACACACATACGTATATATATATATATATATATAATGTAAATATAATTTTAATTAATTATATTAATATATACAATTTAAAATCCGTGGCTATCGCGTAATATCCTAGCTTGTAGTCAATGAAAAAAAAAATTGAATACCACCACCATTATACTGAATACGGGATCACTTGAAAGGTATGGATTTTAAATAAATTATAAAAATAATAAATTATATTAAGATGCATTAAACTTTTACTGATGGAACATTACAACTCAATCATATATCACACACACACAACACACACACACACACACATATATATATATATATATATATATATATATATATATATATATATATATACACGTGTGTAACCAGCTTACATATTATACTTAGTATGTACAGTACTTACTTCATGATATGTTTATATATTTAAAGGTTTTTATTTCACTTGTAGCTCACATAATATCAACATAGTAAAAATAAGTGTATTAAAACACCTCGAATTAGAAACACGTGACACACCGAATCCATTTCAAAAACTGTTTACAGTATTATTTATATATTCAGGGAGCACATTAGATAATTATTTACTTCTCGGGATAACACAATTAAGTACTGCAATAGAATGCAGAAATATATATCATATTCTCTCAGAGCACTCACATTATGTGTAATACATTTTTAAAGTTGTTCAAAATTCGTGCGCGACTCTGAACGCCTCACTACAAAAAATATTTTAGCATTAATAAGCACGGCAAACTTTTAAATTTGACTCAGTTGTATTTGTTGCATAAACTCAATGCGCCGTTTTAATACAATGTGAGATTTAATACTTACGAAATCATTTTTGTGGGTGCATTCTTCAGGACTCACCAGTGATTCACAAGTACAGGACCGCGGTGCCTTCGTGCCCCACCATGATCCGTAAATGTACCAATTCGCAATAATAAATATTTTTTTTGATTTTTCTAATACCTGTTTCAATACACAAGAATTAAAAAGTTCATAAAATAAATAGTTAAAGCCAAAACTAATATCCTGTGAGCTATAATATTTATTAACTTCCCGTAGGGCAAGTTATAGTAATCGCAAAAAAATCGAAAATGAAAATTTTTATATATCTTTACTTTTCAAAACCTTCTGAACATTTTGGCATGCCTTAGAAAAAATGGATGTATGTGTGTGTATGTGTGTGTGTGCGTGTATGTGTGTGTGTGCGTGTATGTGTGTGTGCAGATACAAATTTTCGTCGACGATTTCGGGAACACAGAAGAAGCAATTTGAATAATTCAAAAAACATTCGATTCGTATTGATGAGGAGACGTGCTGATTAGTTTTTGGCAAGGCAGGTCTAGCCGTTCCGAAGATATGGGGCAAAAAGTGCCAAAAACGGTAACTCAGTTTTTAAGGGGGTATTCTACTGTAGAAGCATGAATTTGCCCGATTTTTGAAGCGTTGTATAAAGGAAACAAATGATATTTTACTATCGATTTTTTCATCATTTGTTTATTGATATTTTATTATTACATAAAAAATTATTAAAGAAAAAAATTAGAATTCACAAAGTTATGAGCAGTCAAAGTGGGAGCTCAAAAAAAGAGGGTGTCCTGGCGTGCATGATTCCAACCCTCCTGGTGATCCGAAACATGAAAAAAAGATGGATTCTTAATTATTATAGATGTCGCTATCGTATGAACCTTGGATAAGTCAAAAAAATATTTTTGTTTGAATGGAGGCAGTTTGAAAAAAAAAAAAAAAATTCATGTTTTTTTTAACAATTCCGATTTTTTTAAAAATACTAAATGAAAAGTTATAGTTTTGGGAGAGGTCCATGCGATAAAGCAATGTATAGAGAAGATCCTCTCCAAATTTGAAGTAAATCGGTTCATTAGAACTCGAGATATCCTTACCGCCAGCTCGAAAAAAGTAGTTCCGAGAAAAATGCGTTCAAAGTTTTGAGACTCGGTCGGACCCGAACCGAGGCCACGTCACTAAAACGGATATAACTCAGGAAATAATCGTAATTTTGAAAAATCCTTTTAATGACATATTTTTGAATAACTAAACTTTGAAAATATGAAAAAAAAATTTTTTTGATTTTTTCAAAATTCTACAGTAGAATACCCCCTTAAGAGAACGGAGTGTCCGATTTGAAACATTTTACTTGTATTAACAAGATGAAGAACTGATCAAATTTTCATGAAGGCAGGTCTAGCGGTTTCGGAGATCTAGTAAAAAAAGTAAAAAAAATGCCATTTGGCGGTCAAAAATGATTATTAGACATATGCACATCAAATTATCAGATATATTTTAGAGATTTTAACAATGAGTAAGTATAAATTTTGTTTACATTCCTATGGGTTCCGTACCAATGTTTATCCGTTTGACGGCGACGCGGCGCTTCGATATGTCGTCTCTATGCAGTTAAAGCAGTACAATTGCTTTGAAAAAAAGTTCAGAATTTCCAAAATATTAAAAAATAATTTTTTCTTTAAAGTCTTTTTTTTCAAAAAAAGTAAAGTTTTGTCAAATTTATAATTTCTCAAAAATCTAATTTTTTCAGAGTAAATTTTTTTCAAAAATGTTAATTTTTTAAAAAAAAATAATTTTTGGTACGGAAAGTTCCAGCAATTTGCCTTAAGGCACGATGCCATGCGCCCCGCTAGTTTTATGCTTATTCATTTCAGCATATTCTGCAAATTTGTGGACAATGCCGTTAAAAATAACAATTAGGAGGGCTTTCTAGTGTAGAAGCATGAATTTACTGAAGTCATTTTTAAATATTTGAAAAAAGACAATAATTTTTTTTACTATCATCTTTTCTATATTTTAATTATCAACGTTATAAGAGTTGAGTTACAAGTAAAAACAATAAAAGTTTATAATATTAAAAATTAGCAGTTATAGATGTGAGGCGTCCCAAAAAATTGACACGTAACCATGCCAATGATTGCAGCCCTCCAGTAAACCAAAATGATGAAAAAAAGATTGTTAATTTAGAATGATGTCGCAATGGTATATACTAGGATTAAGTTAAAAACTTTTTTTTGATAAAAATGACGACCGTTTACAAAAAAGGATAATTTTTCTTAAAACTTTTTGTTTCACGATTTTTTTAAAAATAGTAAAAATTAAAATTTGGGGATGAAGCTAGAATATAGTATATACCAGAGAAAAGTCTATAATGATGATTCTTTGAAAATTTCAAGTGATTCGGCTCAAGAACTCAAGAAATCGTGTACATTGTATTGAAAAATTGAGAAAAACGTGTTCAAAGTTACGCAAAAAAAGGAAAACAGAAGAAATTATCATGGTCGAACAGCTGTACCTCCAAAAATAATTTCTTATACACATATTCTCAAATAATTAAAATTTGAAAATATGAAACAAAATTTGAAAATTAGATTTTTTTTAATTTCTGCACTAGAATACACCCTTAATATATAAAAATTAGCGAATTAACGGTTAGAATGTGATCAAATTTCAGTTTATCGAAAAGATGAATCTAATGTGAAAACCTACATCGGAGTCTTAAAAAATATTGCAATGGAAAAATTTCACACAACAAGTCTGAATGAGGTGAAAATTTAAATATATCGCACCTTGCGTTAATACGCAAGTTATAAATATATGTAAAAAACACACCATAACTAATATTAATTTTAAATACATTTCTGAATATTCAATTGAGAAAGTGAAAATATTCCGATGTATTAACGTCTAAAGTGCAGAGATGTTGATTTCTGGAACGATCGATTGCGAACGAATATTTATTTTGCAGGTACATCAAACACAAAATTAAACACACACACACACACACACACACACACATATATATATATATCAAAAAAACTTCAAAGGCTTCAACTTATATGTATATATACTCAGGATTTAATTTAACACTAAAATTAACACACATGTATAACACACACATACATATATGTTCATTAATATATATTTATACTATTGATATATAGATATATATATTAATGAATATATTCATTATTATGCATTATATACACGATTTGGTTAATGTTAAAAGAGGAACACCGCAAAACAATATTTTGATTATTTAATTCAAATTTAAAATTGTATATCATATACTTATAGATTATATGCCGTAGTAGGATCACTCTATAAATATATCAGAACATCTATGTCAGTCGAAAGACGTCGGGCTACTGAAGCATAAACCGTTATATCAAAGCAATTTTACATCGTATTCATCCCTCAATCAAAACTGCATGTGGCTTTGTAACTACAAATTACACTCAATCTCTGCAATGATCTACTTTATGATTAAAAAAGAAAATTTTCTTATTCAAGTGCATATTTTTATCATTTAATTTGTCAATCGAAAATATTTATTCAGCATGTTGACAATGTATATTACAACATTTTATATAAAAATAAATATACTATTGATGGTATAATATTGTCATAATAATTTTAAATCCCGGACTTATTTCAACAATTTATGAACGGATTTGTAGAAAATCATTATACACATTTAAAACAAAACTAGTAAGCTCTTTAATAAAGGTTTATCATTATTATCCAAATTATGTCAATTTTAAATGTTTTCAACGAGTGCGCCATTGGATGTAAAATGAAAATAATTATATTAGAAAATTAAATCGCAATGAGTATTTTTCATTATTAATGTTTATTGTTTAGCATGCATAAAGTCTGGAGGAAATTAAAAATTAGTATCGTAATCCGGACGCTTTCTTTGATAACTTGAGCCATAATGATGGCTATTTAAATAAACATCGTAGGCCCTTGAGTCTCCATATGGATTATATTCTGGAGCTATGGACATCATGTTTTGCGGGGGTGCATTTCTAAATCCTTGTGGGGGCGCTTTCCACGGCGTGTCTCGGAATATCTCTGCCGGATGAAGTTGGGATGGACGTGTCCACTGCGAACGCCAACTATCGTATAGGTTGCTGCCAATATTGTCATTATCCATCGGCCGCTGCAAACAATTCATCAATTCAAAACATTTTTCGTATTTTGTTAAATTTCTGCGCAGAACTCTCTCAGGTCATATGTTTAACATAGATGCATTAGTACTGCATAATAACAGTAAATAAAATAATAAAACTCGCATCATCTTCTATGTACGTCTATGTTAAGTATAGTATGATAATATGTAACTAGTTGCTTTAACTTCCCGATACGTATTCATAATTAACTTAGTCAATAAAAATTGTGATTCAGCTACTTATTGTTAGATATTATGTTCCACGGTTTATTTCCAAAATAAAATGTTCGCTATTACTAAAAATGGATCAATGCGATTTCCAATTGATGTCTTTCAAATATACCAATAATATTTGTAATTGTATTAATTAAATTAGTTGGTTTGGTACATTTTATTTTATAAATTTTGTGTTCCATTTTATTTATGTGTGGACGTCGACTGTAATCAGTAGCTACATACGAAACACGGAATGTGCATGTTTGCTCGGTATGGATTCTAACCGGAATCGCTAAAGCGCGCGGCAAAATTCTAAACGTTAATGATCTTTTATGAATTAACAGCTTGTCGTAGGCCTATAATATTTTATATTACGAAATCTATCATCATATAAAGATTCAACAAATACGTCAAAAATGTTTTTTCAACATTTTCAACGAAGAAACAGCCCAGTCGATCTTGACCAAAAACTAATCAAAGCGATTCCAAACTTTCCAAATCTTTTAAACAGTTTTTGAATTCTCAATATCGGCTTACACACACATACCTAATCCAAATTTGGTCTCATTCTATTTAGAACGTCTAGAAATCCCATTGAAAAGTCTAGAAAACATAAAATTAGAAAAACGGATTTTTTCGCAAAAAGAGACATCTCCAACGGAAAGTTAATAAATATTCCAACATTGTGTTATAATACACGCGGGGTAAAAATGATTATGCTTACAGTATTTAAGAATTGTTGTAAAATACGTGTTGATATCAGCCAATAACGATTCAGGCAAAAATTCATAATAAACTAAGTAATAATCGCTGGAATACCTTTGCCTGCTTGGTTGATTGATTCCATTGGTCCTCTAGATTAACATTATATAAATCATCAGCACCATAATTATCCAAGCCTCCTATAAATTGTAAAATAAATTTTAATATGATATACATAATTTACCTAAATAATATTTTTCATGTCTAAATTCAAGTTTTTGTATATTATTTATTGACTGTTTCAAAAGAGTTATATGAAAATATACCCATGTGATTTTTGTTTAATTCTTGTAACATATCTTCTGTCAGTGGTACTGCTTTACTTTTCTTTTGATTATTTTTCTGTTTATTGACGAGCTGTGATGAATAAAATGATAAATTAAATTTAGTAAAAATTGATATTATTTAAGTATTATCACAATAACTTACAACTGTGACTCCAAATATAATAACGAAGCACAACGAAGCAAACCCTATAACAACAACAGCAATAGCCCATTGTGGTAGCAGCACATCGCTTTCGGAATATCCCACAGTAGAAGTTGGTGCCTTTGGAAGCACTAAAAATCAACATTTGATTAGTGTAATAAAGATATGTTTTGCATCGGGATTATTTAGTTATTCAATGTGCTCACCAACAAAGTCCGTATAAGTAGGATCGACCAAAAATTTTCCTAATGATAATTTTAAAGAATCATCTTCACTATCTTCTGTATCACTTTTATTTTCGGCATTAAAATCTGATTCAGGAGCAGGACTTAAAGCTGCATGAAATATTCGTTTTACTTCTAAAGTGCCCAGTTGACCTGGTAGATCTGCGAGTTCGACAAAATAGTCCACTAATATGCTTCCTTTACTGCAGAACAAAGAAATAAAAACACATTAACTACAAATTAATTTAAAAATGAATATTCGTAATATTAGTGAAATTCATAAATATTCAAACAAAAAAATAATCTTACCTAAAACTATCGATTCTAACTTTCTTGAACCACTGTTTCAAAATGTTTGAGTTACTGTATGCTAACTCCAACTAAAAGTAAACAGTTTAATTAAATATGTGTGAATTTTTACATATTAATTTAATAAATAATAACAACAAATTAGAACAAATTGAAACACGTTCTTACTTCAGTTTGTACTTCATTTGCAAGAAGTTGCCACTCTTTAGTATGATGATCTAATAGTTCAGGAACCCAAGTGCTACCGCCCACAAGCTTGATTGTGGCGGCAAGAGAACATTCATTCTCACAGACACCAGGGACGTGTGTAGTTGTTGGAGTCGACGTTGCCTGTTATAATATTTTTAGTAGAAATATATTTCGAAATTTGAAAATTAACAAATATTAATTAAATTATAACACAATATTAAAATGTTATTAGAGTAAAGTAAGTCCATTAAAAGAGATCAGACATAAAACACCTTTTTGATCACATATGTTAATATAATTTATCTAAATGAGACTGATGGCAAGGCAGAACGTGCCTTGTGATATTATTTAAGCACTTCGGTACGGCGCCTATCGGCCGCGAAACGTCGCTCACAGCCGGCATGCAGCGTCCGTACGCTGGGCGTTCATATTACAGCCGTCTACTAAACGTGACGACAGGCTGTGTGCATTTTGCGGCCTTCAAGTATACTTGTCACTCGTATCGAAGTGGTTAAGTGTTTACATAATTCTTATAGTTCTCATTTATACTGTTTAATGATGTTTAATTTACAAATATGTCCCCTTAAGTCTCAAATTTGTTCTCAGCAAGAGCTGACAGAGCTGCTTCTGAATTTCGAACATTGCACCATGAAGCAGATAATACTTACTACTTCACTTTATATTATTTATATTCTCACCGTAGTTGTTTATTTCACTTTAGATTATATAACTACTTGCCTCAGTAGTTGTTGTCGTTGTACTGGACGTCTCACTCAAGGCACCTGGATCATAACCCTCGGGGAGTAATGATTTATTTGCGAATGCTATTTGTTGAGTTCGCTGCAACTCTAGAAGTTTTTCAATAGAGATGGGAGTTGTTGAAGGTGAAGGCCAACCGGTAAACTCGGTTGTTGACCGACTAGGCCATGCTTTCAGCGTCGATGTACGAGGAGTCGTCACAGCATTTCCATCCGAGCCAGGGCGACGGGCGTCATTTGTTCTTGAAATCGGCTTGCGGCCACCAGGACGGCTCGGAAAAACAACCTTTAAATAATATGCATAATTATATATGTTTACTTAGATATAAGATTTAAAAAATTTATCTATACATTTATTTCGTATATATCGAAAAATTATGTTCAATATACAGCAATATGTATAGAAAATTGGTCACAAGTCTAAGTCTTATATTTAACATATAAGATAGCCTTATAGCCTCTTGTTAATTTCAATTTTATACGAGAGCAAAATTTCTTATACATTAATACAGAATCTCAAATCAAGTGAAAGGCCATCGACTTTTCAACTATCTTCAACTGAAAATTGGAGTAACTCATCCCAATAGTTGAAATGTTTGTTTAGAGTAATATATAACTTTATCAATGTATATCTTATGAAAATTCCATTCATTGGTATGAATATGAACCAAATATTTTCGGTCCAACCAAATTCTTCGAATCGTTCCACCCAATTTGTGGCCGATCTATACATTCATATATACATACGAGTACATACTGCTACTGCCACTACTACACAGATCTATTTTTCTTAAGTATGTCAAAATGGTCATAAGTAAAGATATAAATAAATTATATTGATTATTTTGTTATTTCAGTAAGTTACCTTGTGAGAAGTTAAAAATAAACGATATTAAAATAAAACTAAAATTTATTTAAAGACACTTGCGCTTGTACACGTGCGGAATTAATAGTTATAAACGCTGACTTTAATCATACTTGTGTAAACCTTTGTGCTGAAGATGAACACGATCAAAGCTTGAAACATATACGAAATAAATGCATGAAAATTAAAAAAAAGAATTGTCACAGTATTCAATACGTTATTAGACCAATTACAGTGAACCAAGAACTAATAACAAAAATAATAACTATAAAATATGTACGAGGTGTGTTCAAAAAGTACCCGGAATTACTAATAATTAAATTTCGCGGGTCTGGAGTGTCTGATTGTCAAAAATTTTTTTTTATTGTGTTGGTATACATGCCCCTAAAGTATGATGAAATTTTCAGCTATATTCACGGTTTACTTTGTCTGTGGTAGTCGCTAAGGTTCGACTGTGTTTTTCTGAGCTCGGCGATTTTTACAATGGAAGAATTGAAAAGTCAAAGAATTTGTATTAAATTTTGCGTAAAAAACGAAATAAAGTGGTGCAAAGTGCAAAAATTCACCAGATATGGCTCCGTGTGACTTTTTCCTATTCCCAAAGTTGAAGAGACCCATGAAAGGACGGCGGTTTTCCTCGATTGAAGAAAATCGCTGAGAGTGCTCAAGGACATATCAAAAAGTGAATATCAAGGGTGCTTCGAAAATTGGAAAAAACGCTGGCATAAGTGTATTATATCTGGGGGGGACTACTTTGAAGGGGACCACATTAATGTAGACGAATAAATAAATATTTTTTTGAAAAAACGAAAATTCCGGGTACTTTTTGAACAGACCTCGTAAGTGTATAACAAAATGAATTGATTTTTCATTATCGGGCAAACTGTATAATTATCGTAATTAAATTAAAACATGTTATTCCCCAAGGGTAATTAAGTGTCCAATTATAAAAGTGTCGTAATATTCTAAAAAAATAGAATAAAAGTTATATGTCCTTTGTTACCTTTAATCCACCACCTGATGGTTTTTCAACCGGTTTTTCAATTGGCTTTTCTTTAGCTTCTTTGACCGGTTCTACACCTGCGTTAAATCCTTGTGGTAATAATTTAGAACTAATATTCTCGAAGGTTAAATTCTTTAGTAAACTATCAATAGAACTATTACTACTTTTATTATCAGTCTTAATTTCTTCATCAACATGTTTAACGGTAGTATGAATTGCTTCTGAAGTATTTTCATTGCTAGTTTTAGAACTAACTTGCGGTGGCACGTATCCCGGGGGAAGTAAGGAGCTGATATCTATCTGCACAGCACCTCCCAATATCTTTTCGGTTTGCGATAAGTCTTTTGTTTCCGACATGTTTTTCTCAAGTCTGTTCTTAAAGTTGAATTGTGAATTTTGCCCAGCAATTTTATTATCGTCATGAGATTGCTCTAAACTTCTACCTGTTGTACCATTTCTATGTTTTACCTCAGAATCCGGTTTGCTCCAAGGAGCTGTTGTAGTTTTTCTATTGTAGTTTCGAAGTTTGAAACCAGGAGGCAATAATGCAGATAATTCAGAATCTACTTTCGGCTCAACTTTTGTAGCTTTATGCCTTGGCCTAAATGTACTAGTAGTCACATGCAAATTTGGTATGAATTTTCTAATTGGTTTCACATCCACCGGCGATGGTTGTTGAGTTTCTCGAACCGGTGGAGCGGCAGTGCTGGTTGCGTTATTGATATGTTGCATATCTGTCAATACTGCAATATTGTCAGAAATATTATTAAAGGCTCTGGTAAGAAAACTACTGGAAAGTTCTGATTGCAACTGATCTAGTTTATCAATTATAGATTCTGTTGACGGAATTGGAGTTACATCTTGCACAGAATCAGGAAGGACTGTAACATCACTAACAGTGGTGTCGGTAGAAAAATCGTTAATACCAATAGCTTCAGTTACAAAATCATTACCATTTTCTTCTTCCGAATCTGTTTCTAATATTGGTTTGATCTGAGATACACTTTTACTGGTTTGCACTGATCCTATGATAAACCAACCTTCGGTATCATTAGTAAATGTATTATTGAATGTTTCTATTGATGCTGGTTTAGTAATATCAGGTAATATTGTACCATTTATCACGCTTTTCGTTGTGACAACTGATACAACTTCGTGAATTAAAACTAACTCTTCTGTCGCAGACTCAGGTTTAATTTCATTAACAGTTGTTGATGTTTCAGTAATTGGCACGTCTTCATCATTTTGTGGTAAATCATCGATTTGCTTATTTTCTTCATTTTCAGTGTATTCTAAATTTTTGTCGTTGGTATCATCATCGACGGTATCTTGATCATCAATTTCTTCCTGTTCATCTTGTATTTGATCATAACTATTATCTTCAATTTCGGTTATTTTTCCTTCAGAATTCGGCTTATCAGCATCGTTAACTACAGACTTATTATCAGTTTTATTTATTTCATCATTTTGTGATATTATCTCTGGTGTAACCGTTGCGTGATCTGCCAAATCCAACACCGCCAACATTTCTGTATTATCAATAAGACCACTATCAATAAATTCTTTGAAATTATCATTTTCTACCATAGTAACTGCATTCATTGTAAGAACATCGAAACCATTTGTAGTATTAGGTACTGCTGATGTTGGACGGACTGTTATGATGTTTGGATCATTTTCTGACTCAGGTATATTTTGATCAAGTTGTATATTGTTTATTTTATAATCATTATTTACTAATTTCTGGTTTGGCATATCGTCTGCGATGATGTCTTCATCATGTGTATCTATTTCATCAAGCACCTCTTCGACCATTTTCTTGTTTTGCTGGTTGTCATCATTATCACTATTTTCATACAATTTTTTATTAAAAACATCATACTTTAACGAGCCATTTTCTTTATTGATTTCATCCTTTATTGGTTTATTATGTACATCCTCGTCTTCATCGATGAGTATATCAGGAGAGTCTTTATGCAATTCTTCTTCTCCTTCATCGTAATATTCTTCATCGCCTATATGAGAATAAACTTTTGTGAGCAAATTATTGAAAATGTGAAGTAATTATAAAAAAATATAGTACCTGGTGGCGTCGTTTCATCGAAATCACCTTTTAAATTTCCAAAAACTGAGTGTGTTGTAATGGAAATCTTTTTCTTGTCAACAGCTTCTCCTAAATTCTGTTTCTAAACACAAAAAATATTTATAAGTAAACAAAATATAATTTGCAGTAATATAAATATTACATCCATGAAAAATGTATATAATATTATTTATATACAAATTTTTCATTTTATTCGCGCTGGTTCCGCTCATTACTTTTATTATTATTAATATAAAGGTACTTCTGAAAAGAAAATTTTGCTATGACATGAATGCGGCCATAACACTTTGTAAGTTATGTTTCTTGTTTCTAAATAAATTTTTTGCAATTAAATAGTTATTTTAATTTTAGAAAAATGAGACCTAAAAAATGGGGCGGCATTTTCGTCAGTGCTCCAGGATGCCAAATTTCTAAATCCGGCCCGGAATATATCACCATTTTGTTATGAGCATCATTTATTACAAATTTTTCGTTTTGAACGTACCTGTGATCTCAAATAGGCGTCAGTGTTTCTGAATGTTACAACTGGTGGTGCATCAGTACGATTAGGTAGAAATCGGCTATTAGATGATTGTTTCTCTTTTGAACCAGAATAACGAACTTCGTAATCGTAATCTTTCCCCTGTTCTTCCGCGGGTACTATAAATGGTCTACTTTTATGCTGTGTTGTGCCAAATATACGATCCGTTTCACGAAAACCGAAACTGTTCAAGTTACGTTCTTGTGATGAGAAAGGAGTTCTGCCGTTGCTGTGATATTGCTGTAGATAATGAGGTCGTATTGATTTTAACAAAAGTTGCTGATGTAGCAGAAAATTATCTAAAATCATTTCTATGATCTATATAATCATTATCTAAATCAAAATTGTCTAAAATCATTTTTTAAGATCTATATAAAATTAACAAAAATATAACGCTAATTGAGTTTAGACTTTATTTGAAATTTTTTTGGAACTATTTACAATAGCTTAAAGGCAGTGGTGTTAATTAAATTTACCTGTGCCGGTATTCCAGCTCTATCTGGAGAGCTAAATGGTTTACCCGATATATTGTTGTTATTAAATATTGTGCTGGCGAATGATCTTTCCGGTGGCTGAGGAAAACTTCTTATCGGAGCTGGCTTATGTTTAGAATCACTCAAACCCGGCAACCTAAATCGCGGCTTGTTAAAACCGACGTCGCCCAAATCAAGAGGAAAGGAATTACTGTGAAGTAAGTGCTCATTTGCCGTTTGCTGAAATTAAAAAATAAATATCAAACTAGCTGTAAGTGGAATTCTGTCTTAAGGCAATTAAGGCATCGTGCCTTAAGGCAAATTGCTGGAACTTCCCGTACCAAAAATTATTATTTTTTTAAAAACGATTAACATTTTTGAAAAAAAAAAATTACTTTGAAAAAATAAGATTTTTTAAAAACTATAAATTGGACAAAAAATTACTTTTTTTTGAAAAAAAAATTTTTTTTTAAAAAATTTTTTTTTAATTTTTTTGTTTGTTTTCTTTTGTCTTTTTTATTTTGACATATTGTGAAAGATCTGAACTTTTTTTCAAAGCAATCGTACTGCTTTAACTGCATAGGGACAAAATATAAAGCGCGTAAGCGCCGCCTCACTGTCTAACGCATAAGCATTGGTACGGAACCCATAGGAATGTTAACAAATTATATACTTATTGTTAAAATCTCTATAAAATATCTGATAATTTGATGAGCATATGCCTAATGAACATTTTTGACCGCCAAATGGCTCATTTTTTTACTTTTTCCTCCATATCTCCGAAACCGCTAGACCTACCTTCATGAAAATTTTATCGATTCTTCATCTTGTCAATACAAGTGAAATGTTTTTTGAATTATTCAAATCGGACGCTCCGTTTGAGTTACCGTTTTCGGCACTTTTTGCCCCGTATCTTCGGAACGGCTAGACCTGCCTTCGCCAAAAACTAATCAGCACGTCTCCTTATCAATACGAATCGAATGTTTTTTGAATTATTCAAATCGGTTGACCCGTGTTCCCGAAATCGTCGACGAAAATTTGTATCCGCACATACATACACACACGTACATACATACACACACACATACACACACACATACACACACACATACACACACACACACACACACACACACACACACATACATCCATTTTTTCTAAGGTACGCCAAATGTTCAAAAACCTTTGAAACGTAAAGATATATAAAAATTTTCATTTTCGATTTTTTTGCGATTACTATAACTTGCCCTACGGGAAGTTAATAAACATCTGATATAATATAGGAACGTTGATGTAAAAACAATATACACATTAACGTAAATATATTGCTTATAATTTGGACGTGTCTATAAATAATACCTGCAATCCAACTTGTCCCAGAAACCTGTCATGTGTATTTGGCGGATGTTTGTGAAATTGAGATTGCTGCGGCAACGGCTGTACGTGCAAATTCGAAAGAAAACTATTTGAAGATGGTTTTATAAACGGCGAAGGTTGATGCCTTAACGAATCTATCGGAGATGACTGAAAATAAATGTTTTTATTTATCACTAATCTGTCTCATCTACTAATTGTAATACCTAATTTATTAATATCAGGCCCTGTGGCATTATCATTGAGTGGCTTTAGCTGGTGTCAAGCTAAAACCTAAAATATGTAAAACAGCTATGTACAACTTATTAATTTCATTTATAATGTAAAAAGCTGTATTTATATACGCCTTTTGTCAGCGTTCTTCAGAGCTAATTGGTACAATGAATTACTTACTACTGGATTTTTTTTCAACATTCGACTCTGATATTAGTATCATTTTTATAATCGAAATGGTACCTAAGACAACTTTCCTGATTGTATCTATAGACTGATATGCTATGCAATAATTCTACATTAAACTTTATATATATATCAAACAATTCACTTTCACAGCTTTTGGAATAATAGATCATGAAATTGATCGACGTTGTCGATTATGTAGTTGATCGACATAAATTGATTATAACATAACATACTTTATATATATATATATATATATATATAATATATATATATATATATATATATATATATATATATATATATATATATTATATATATATATAATATATATATATATATATATATATATATATATATATTTTCACCCAAATTGAATAATATATTATGTATAAATAGCATTACCTGAAACCCCTGAAAGTGAAACTGATCAGCACCAGTGTGAAAAGAATCAGAAGGTTGTTGAAAATGCGTTTGAAGTCTTGGATTTTGGAACAACAGCGATTCTGCAAAATATAAACTCATGTTAGTTTTAATAAATTATCACTTCATTGTAAAATTGTGATTGAAAGATAAAAATTATTACCTTGTTGCCAACTCCTCGCTGGTCCAAACCCCAAAACTAATAAGATAGAAACTATTGTCCTTATGCATCGTTCTCTGGTCATCATAGGATTAATCGATTCCATATTATAAATAGTACACTAACGCATATTTATTTAATTCCTAATTAACGCGGCATTTGATGATGCAACTTAAAAATTAATTTATATTTTTGCATCTAATCATTTATTTAGAAAATCATATTTGTTCTGAATTTTATGTTTGGCTACCACTAGACTCGAACAAACCCTCACTAGTATTCTGAAATAAAAAATAAATTGAACTTAAAATAAAACAAATATAAAAACATATGTTATTCTACTTATGTTTGATAGTTAAAATTTGAAATATTTTGGAAAATCAATTGCTTCATTGAAATAATAATAACGATCATATAATTCCATTTTCTATTTCTATACTGAGTAGGTACTTCTATTTTACTTTCAATGTTGTAATCAATAATATATCACAATGGCAAGAGAAAGTTGAAAATTGCATACAGTTCTACTAGTCTACTGCGCTTGCATGGGTGATGCATTAAATAAAAACATACGAATTGTGTTATGCTATTTTTGGCCTTACTGGTATAATAAATAAATTAGATTAATAAGCTAAAAATTGCCCAAATTTGTTGTATCATTTTTCTTTTTAGAGAAAAAACATTTTTAAGAAACAATGCCTCTAACTTTATTAAACAGTCTTTTATTTTCATATTTTTATAAAAAAAATATGAAAATAAAAGTCAAAGCCAGGTAAAAAAGGGTACATACAAAAAGTTATATAGAAGATACTCTTATATAAAGAAATTCCAATATTTATAGCGTAACAAACTACGAGTTTAATTGTGTTATTTGTTCTTGCCGATTTTTTAAATTAACGCATATAAATATATTTATAATTAGGCAAAATGAAAAAATATTAGTTATTTTAATTTAGTTTAATCGAAAATTTTATTCATTGAATGTGATTTTGGGTTTTTTAAATAATTTGTGTGTTTTATCTACTGAAAAAAAGTGAAAATGAAATTTTTTTTTCAAGATACTCTCATATATCAACATAGGTATTAAAAAAGCAAAAAAAAAATTAGCTAAAAGGATTATCTAAAGGATGTTTTTTACGCTAAATAATTTAAATATGATTTAAAGTAACAAATGCTATTTAAGTATGCAATAATAATCAGTTTTTCTAAAATATATATTTTTCTCAAATCAAAATTACCGGCGTTATTAGGAACTTTTTTAACTTCCCGTAGGGTAAGTTATTGCAATCGTCCAAAAATCGAAATTGATAACTTTTACATTTCTTCACGTTTTGAAGGTTCCTAACATTAGGTGTACCTCAGAAAAAATGGATGTGTGTGTATGTGTATGTATGTATGTATGTTTGGAGACAATTTTTCGTCAACGTTTTCGGGCGCACGGATCATCCGATTTGAATGGTTTAAAATACATTCGATTTCTTTTAATAGGAAGATGTGCTGATTAGTTTTTGGCAAAGGCAGGTCCAGCCGTTTCGGAGGTACCAAGCTAAATGTGCGAAAAATGGTAGTTTTTGAAAGAAATAAGCATCCAATTTGAATGATTCAAAAAACTTTCTGCTTGTGTTGACGAAACGATTGTTTTGGAAAAAAAAATTTTAATTCCCGAATATCGAAAATAAATCGAATTTTATTTTTTTTATGACTAAAGCCCTAGAATCACTAATATAGTAATAATAAATAATTTTAATTGTGCAATTCTGTTTATATAATTTTTACGAATATTAGATAATGTGTTTAAATTTGATTGATTAAGTTTTGTTTGATTAGTTTTCTGTAAACATAAGTATGTTACAGTATTTGAAAAAATAATCTAGTTGAAAACATTTAATATTCATCGAATATTTCATTACTGTACGGGAAGTTCCAGCAATTTGCATTAAGACGATGCCATTTACCACTAATTATTCGATTATATTTTTATATCAATGATCTAGGGCTCTAGGCTATATTAACCCGTCTTTGGAATTTTGAATTCAACATCGTATTGTTTAATATAAGCACACTTGTTGTATATATTATTTTTAGATATTTCCTGAGTAATTATAACCATATTATCAAGTAATTGCAAAGATTCATTTTGAATCTATACTTTTCAAAAACGCGAACAATCCGGGACAAATAATCCGGGAATGTCCCGGCCAAACCTGGACGTATTGTCACCTTAGAAAAAAGCGCCCTGTGGTAGTAATAATTTCTATAACCATGGTCACCTTAAAAATCCCGCATGCACATTTGACCAGTGAAAAGATATTTTTAACACAATGCTTTAGTATTAGAGAATAAATTATATTGGAAATTTTGCCAGCTCGAATTTTACTGCCTTCGGTAAAGTTTATTAAAATGACCTATATGATTAAAATCGCAATGTGATCCAATAGTATGTATGTATTTGAATGTATGAATTATAAATACATATATTTTCTCATTTTTTTTAGTGAAAATCATTAATTTTGAGAGTCTGATGTGAATAAATTACCCATTAGCAGCCACATGCCTCAACGATTGATAACTCAATAATTATTTCACAATGTTGGATACTGGTAATTTTTTGCACACGAACAAGCAAATAAAGAAATTCAAAATGGCAACAATTAGGTTGCAGTTTCCTTCTCGGCAAGAAGTACTAGAAGTATTTCAAAATTACACATCGCAATTTCAATTTAAAATTGATTAAAAATTAAATTAATACTATACTTTAGAACCTTGTGATATTCATAAAATAGTAATGAAATTCGCAATAAAAAAATCATAAAAAAATTTCACATTTATCGTGATATCAATTTAGTCTCTTATTGAAGACTTCGCATAGATAGGTTTTATTTTTTATATTGCAGCAATCGCTCATTAACTTTTTGAAGAGTTGTTTATAGAAATCAATAAAATAAAGCCCGGTGCACACGACGCCAGTATTCCTTGTAATATGATTTCTATCGTAACAGGATTTCTAGCGAGCAAGAATTTTGCGCCAGATTTTCACTTATTTTATGATTAATATTAATTTCGTACATTTTCAAATAGATTATTATAAATATATACTGTGAATTTCACAATTTATATTTTATAGGTCTAAAATACACTAATGCTTATAAGTGTACAAACAGAGAATTGTATGAATTGTAAACAAAAACATGTACGTATCGCATCTGATTAGAATTAAGTGAAATAATAATAATTAAAAGATAATAAAATGCTTCAGTTTAAGGGGCACAACTAGTGTGAAATTTTCAAACTGTAGTCGAATTTTCATATTTTTTCATATTTCGATAGGTTATACCTTTAAAAATAACATACCAAAATTTCAAATCGATATCTTAAATAGTTTTTGAGTCACAGCCATTTAAAGAGTATATACTCGTATATAGTATATAGTATAACGATCATTTAATCTTTAAACGCGTTTTTCTCGAAACAGCATTTTCCGAATTTGCTGCAGCGATTACTCAAAAACAAATGATCCGATCACTATCAATTTTTTTGTACATGCTTTATATATAGTTCTCGTAAAATAAACTATCGATTTTTTGATAGGATCAAAAATCGAATTTTGGCAGTCCAAAAACTTTTTTATAAAAACGCCGCCATTTAATCAATTTTTGATTTCTGTTTTATCGTAGTTCATTTTACAGACAACATTATCTAGTTTAACGATTTTTTTTTTGGATTTGATCCACGTAGAAGGCCGGAATCACTGCAGCAGTGAAAGGCCTTTTTTGTGCGTTGGAGATCGACGATAACTTAAAAGATATTTAGTTTTTTTCTTCAAAAATTTTGAGATGTGCTGATTAGTTTTTGGCAAAGGCAGGTCCAGCAATTACGGAGATAAAGAGCAATGAGTGCAGAAAATTTAAATCGAGTTTTTGAGAGAACGGAGCATCCGATTTGAATGATCTAAAAACATTCAACTAGTAATGATTGGGAGAAGTGGTAATTAGTTTTTGGCAAAGGCAGGCCCAGCCCATTTCGAAGATACAGTGCTAAATGTGCAAAAAATGGCAGTTTTTGAGAGAACTAAGCGTCCGATTCAAATGATTCAAAGAACTTTCTGCTTGTTTTAGCGAAACAATTAATTTTGGAAAAAAAATTCTTGTTTCAAATTTTTTTTTTTGAAAAAAATTTTTTTTTTTTTTTGTATATTGAAAATAATTCAGATTTTTATTTTAATTCTGTTTTAATATACTTTAAACAAATAATTTCAACTTTCCAATTCAGTTTATATAATTCTTATAAATATTAGACAATGTTACAATATTTATAATAATCTATTTTAAAACATTTAATATTCCTCGATCATTTCGTTACGGTACGGGAAGTTCCAGCAATTTGCTTTAAGGCATGATGCCATACACCCAACTAATTTTTTTTTAATTTTGAGTATTTTTGCAAATTTCGAAATTTTTGAAATAAAACGATTTGAATTTTTTTGTAATTTTTTGGAAATTTTGAATTTTTTGATATTTCAGATAAAATTACGAAAATTTGAAAAAAAAATGCATATTTAAATTTTTTCGGAAATTTGCTAAACTAATCATTTATTCACGCCGCTATATATACACAATAGCTATTTACAAAATAAAAACTAAGCGCTTCCAAAATAGAAGTAAATGAATCAAGTACGCATTGATATTTTCGTGTCAAAATACAGCTTTCCTATTGGACACTGAAGGTATCGGCCACGAGATCGTTCATCTATCGCCGACATAGGACATGCTCCATTCGTAAAATACGGCAGGAATTTGCAAGGACTGAAGTTGTTATGAAATCAAATTTCGACGTTGTTAAGGCAACGGTTTCACTTAGAAATTATGATGAGTATACCGCCCTTGTGAATGCGTGAAATCTAGCAGGCCAGATCGCAAATTATGTCGCGCAAGATCGTAAATTATGGTTTATCATGTCGTTCCTAGGGTAACAAACAAACAAAAACTGTCCAGCATGAAAACTGGCGTCGTGTGCACCGGGCTTAATTCAAGTGATGATTCATGATTAACACCTATATTGATGGGATTATGATAATTTTAAGCTTATTTAAATACATAAGTATTTATGACTTAAATTTAGTATTGCTAGATTCGCAAAAACTATTCAAAATAACAGTTGTATGTATATATATATATATATATATATATATATATATATATATATATACGAGGTGAGTTCAAAAAGTACCCGGAATTACTAATAATTAAATTTCGCGGGTCTGGAGTGTCTGATTGTCAAAATT